CAATTTTCAGGCCGAATCCAGTTTTCGTCAGTCACCGGGGCGGGTATACATGACGGTATTCGAGTCACGCACGCGTACGTGCCCGCGCCAGTATTGCCCGATCCTACTCGCACTAGGCTGCTACCCTACGCCTGCTTATTTTCACGCGGCAAGGTGGGCTGAAATGTAAAATGAAAATGAGTTTCAGAAGGTTTTATGATTTTATCTACTGTTATTGGATTTCTGAACATTGTTTTTGATTATCACTTATTTTTCAGCCAATTTCATTAAAATTTAGGTCATATATCCAGCAATTAATTTCATTCAATTCACCGTGATAATTTTGGGACATCCTGTATAAAGGTAGAGCTACATTCTACTTGCTCTCTTTGACCTTTGTCTATGAACCTTTTTACTCAGTCTCTCCTGCAGTATAAAGCATGCCAATAATTTAATCCAGATCTCAAGTTTCCCAGACAGTGCTCGCCTCGCACAATGCATACGGGAACAGATAATGGACTGAAAACCCCCATAGAGCGCGTGCAAGTATTTTTATGGGGCATGGGAATGTCCCCGGACTATGGGAAGTGCAGCCCCTGACGTAATCATGATTTAATGCCTTGTTTATGGAGTAATTAAATAAGTCATATCGATAACCGTGCCGTGTCATCTTTAGATAAATGGGATTAATATTTTAAATTATTTAAGAGTACCTATTTGAATGATTTACGAGTAGGTAGTTCTTTGAATGTTTTGAAGAAGTTAAATATTGAGGCAGACATCGGCTATCCATTACCAACTACAAATTAGTTGCACTTGACTAATTTTATGAACATAATTATTTTTTCTGTAAAACCAATTTTAATACTACTAAAACTTGAAAGAATTTGAATATCACATAAATTTTGAAATTTAAAACCTCATAAATAAACCTACATCCTACTAATATTATAAATGCGAAAGTTTGGATGTCTGGATGTCTGTTACTCTTTCACGCAAAAACTACTGAACGGATATTAACCCAGAATAACATTATAGGCTATAAATTATGACGATATGTGACAAACTAAATTTAATCGTCTAGAATTCTAGGTAACCAAATGCTCGTGTCGTAGGAACTCCTGCGAATACTCTACTCCAAAAAAACCTTTAAACTCATCATTTGCAATTACAGAAGTTAATATAAACACCCCAATAGGGAAACAACGGGGTTCATTTACAAGCAGATTGTCAGTTGCCGGCAGTAAACCGCGAAACGCAGCGATGGCCGGTTGGGAATTAGCAGTAAAAACTTTTTTACAATCGACAGGGGCGAAGGTAAATCTAGTGATGGACTTTATATTATTAGAGGAGTCTGTGGGAAGCAAAAAACGCTTTCTGCGAGTAGAATTAAAATACAATCACCCCTGGAAAATAAATGCAATGTTGTCGCATCAATGCAATGATACGACTGTAATTACTATTGATAGCAATTCGTAAATACATCTTCAAACTTCATTTATCAGAATTCATGACTATCACTGCCATCTGTTGGAAACATCCAAAATCACCACTTTTCCTGCACCCTTTTCAGTCCCGGAAAACTCAAGAAATGTGAAAATCTGACTTACCATAAACACAGTCAGTCGTTGTTACATGAAGGCTGTAAAATCTCTTACTTTCTGCTGAATAAATGAAAACCTTGATAGTTTTCATGAATTCGTACCTACACAAAAACGTTTTCAGCTGTTTCCTAATAAAAATAAGTGTCTCATTTATTATTTTTTATAATCGTTAATGCCGACTACTTCTATTATAGTTGTACCTACGTCTGTCTGTACTTGAATTATGTAAAAAACCAAACCTAATAATTATCCCTAGTGGTTTGTGATTTGCATGCCATCTTTGGAGGGAAATTTTAAGCACATTTTCCCGCGCCCAACTGCTTTTGGGATAAGCGAACCAGACGGCTTGCAAACATTTTTGTGGATTGAAGAATTACTTTTAATTTAGTTATTTTAGCCACCTCCACCTATAAAACAAATAAAATTAATATTTTCAGTTAGGTAATTCAAACTTAGTTAAGTTTTCAGGCCTGAGAGTTTTTATACAGAAGTTGCCTTGTGGTTAATTTTGTCAACTACCCGTTAAACCTTCTATTTTTAGCACTGATCCTTACTAAATATTTATATGGCACCTGGAAATCGCAATCGGAAGATTGGCGATACATCAGCCCAGCGCCATAGATCGCCATAATAGCGCCATGCCTCGTGTTGAATCTTTTATGTAGATGTGCAAACGTACTCGAGCGACTACGAATGGACGGATTCTAGTAATTTTGTACTTGGCAATAAGTTGCTGCTAGTTTACGAGCTGTGGCGGGATTTAGTGCCCTTTTAGGAAGAACTTGGACGCGAAATAGAGGCCACTTGTTGTCTTTTTGTTAGTAAAAAAAGTGTTGTTAGGTACCTAAACAGGAGCGTAGCCAGGTGTCGTTAATAATAATTATTATGATGGTGAGGTGACATTCATGAAGTTTAACTTAACACATTTTATGGTTTCTAGTAAAATTATTTAGCTTAAACTTTATTTCTATCTTTACCCTACATAATATGAACACTTAGGCCCAGAACAGACGGTGAAACGCAACTGCAACGAAACTGCAACTGCTAGTTACTTTTGAGTTGCATCTAAGTTTCTGCCATAGCGTCCGTTGAGAGACCACACATGACGCGACCAGTTTGAAACTTTCAGTTTCAGTTTCATTCATCAGAATCATCAGAAAGTTGCAGTTTCGTTGCAGTTGCGTTTCAGCGTCTGTTCTGGGCCTTAGGTAGCGAAATATTTCAAACTAAATATAAACTAGACCATTTTTCAAGTCTACAAAATTTATGTGCGCGCAATTGAATTTCACAGTTGATTTGAGCGGGCGTTTGAAAAATACTTCCGATTTTCAAATGCGGAAGGACGCATCTATCAAATAGTGGCGGGAAAACATAGACCATCGCCACGGTTAAGGCTCGGAGCACACTGAAAACACTTGAATTAAATCTCTCTTTGTAAAAATTGTATTATTGGATCATATGCATCTAGATGCATGTCATACTAGTATGACACTAAATTATGCTCATAAACCCACCATCAGAAGTTATTTCCCTCTATTCTACTAATCGTAACAAAATAGAAAGACAGAAAGGACATCAATCTTTATTACAGGCGATAACAAAAAAGTTATTCAAAAATAAAGTTTACAGTTTCATTGGACTGTTCGATAAAGAACGGCGAGCTTACAGCCGAAAATCCTTTTTTCCAAGCCAGTATCTTTAATTGGCATAATGAAAAACTTTATTTGTATCCCTAATTTTCTCTCAGTGTGTGCACGCACCCTAAGGCTTAGGGTCGCCGGTGTCAAACATATAGTTATTTATGGGCACCATTCACAAATTGCATTCGTGGCCAAACTGATATATTGGAATGTTTTATATGTAAATGCGGCCATAAGACGAATGGCTGCCCCAGAAACTGATATCAAATGATTTAGATCGACGGTGGGATTCTATTAGACGCAATATATTTGGTAACCCTTGGTCATACCAGCCTCTAAATGCAATTATTGGACATACATAATATTTATGACAATTCAATGGGTTAAATTCCTAGGTAGATTTTACATTTGCATAGTGGTTCTCTAAAAAAATAAGATTCCGTGATTCAGGGCTCATCAACCACGATCCTACAGAGGCTCTGATAGGTTCTATATTAGATAGAACTATATCAAACGAATGTTATAAGATAGGTATCCATATATGGATAGACCTAGAGTATCTACGCTTGGAAGATGGCTTGAACCTCAATCTCCTTAAAAAGCTGGATACCTAATTGTCTAAGTTTATTAACCTACTTCATCAGCTGTTGTCAGACACGCATTAGTACAATCCTCCTCCCGGAAAATTCAAAGACATTTTGAACAATTCCTACTGCACACTGCCCTGAATCTAAAGCGCACCTCTGCATACGATTCCGGCTTTGTAGTGAATGTTGATATAACTGAATTATATTGAGTAAATAATCCTTAAACCGCATTCCTATTGTCAAACCGTGAATAACGGTCCCAAGTTGTCCCGGTCCCCACGACGCGACCTCCGATGATTTATGCCCCGCCGACCGCGCTCGTGACTGGTCTACTACGAGAACAATATTAATGTAAACTATGACAATTGATTAACGTTGCGAAATAGATCATACGTCAGAATAATGAGAAATAAAATTTACTACAGGTAATAGCGTTTATTGATATAATTATAGCGCTCTGCCATTGCCGTTAGCCTCTCACTGCCGACTAAGTAGGTACTGGACATGAACCGACTCAGCTAAGACACCACAGAGCACGTCCTGTAGCCAAGACAATTTAAGTATATCCTGTAGTAGAAAATTAATGAAAATTGAGTCCGCTACTTAACGCTATTAGATAGTCTACAACCTACTGTGTAAACCTAGCTTTAAATTTTTATTAACGGCAATCAACATAGACTTTAAAATTATTGCTCTTACTATCTAACTAGGCGTCGTCTACATGCCCTTTGAGTTCCAGCAGACTTTCGACCGGTGTTATATCGCGTGCTTGGAATATTTACATTTTTTGTCACGTGCTTCTGGGTGCCGCTTTGACGTAACCACGCCGATGTTGCTAGATGTGAAATATAGTACTGCTGTAGTAATTTCTTTCAAATATAGGCGTACCTACAAACTTATTTACTTAGGAAGCAATAAACTTCGAGTACCTACATATTGAAATTATTACTTAATCATTTGAACCACTTAGATTCGGAATAAAGAGGAACATCAAATTACACCCATTACAAACATTGATTTTGTTATTGTCTTTTGTATTTTTGCATCGGGTTTTGTACTTACTTAGTTTTTAACTCTGGACTTCAGTTCAGATCTTTCTAGCAGCTATTGAAACGAGCTTTAAGCAATTTGAGCTCTAAACATGCGCTAATGTTTGAAAAGTAGAAAATTATTAGGAGTAACAGTATAGCAACATCGACTTCGACACTTCAAGAAGTCTTTACGCAAGCGCGATTAAGAGTCAACAATCTGTCTCACTCCCGGTTTGATAAAACAGCTGTTTTACTTACTCCGAGATAATCTCAAGTGTTTGATTTTGTTTGTAAATAGCCCGCAAACATGGACTTTAACGAGAAAGTTGTGTTAATAACTGGCGCAAGTTCAGGCATTGGAGCAGCTACAGCGATTCATTTGTCAAAACAATCTGCGAAACTAGCACTGGTTGGTCGCAAAGAAAAAAACTTGAAGAGGATCGCTTTATATTGCGAAAAAAATAAAGGCCTCAGCCCTTTGTGTATCATTGCTGACGTCACAGAAGATGCAGATACAGAGAGAATAGTAAAAGAAGCAGTGGAACATTACGGAAGGATCGACGTGCTTATAAACAATGCTGGTGTAATCGGGATGGGTGGTATCAAGAACTCCAGCATGGAAATCTACGATAAGGTCATGACGACGAACATGAGATCTGTGTATCACTTGACGATGTTGGCTGTCCCACATTTAATTGAAAGCAAAGGTTGTATTGTGAACACTTCTTGCATCGCCGGCATGAAGCCGACGGTTATGGCGCTGGCTTATAATTTGTCGAAGGCAGCCCTGGATCATTTCACCAAATGCGTTGCTTTGGAATTGGCTCCTGACGGCGTCAGAGTCAATTCTGTCAACCCAGGGTTCGTGAAGACCAACCTGTTAAAGGATACAGGGTTAACTGAAGACCAGTTGGAAATGTTCGTGAAGAATGTCGTGGGACACACTCCTTTGAAGAAGCCGGTCGAAGGCGATGAGGTGGCGGCGCTGATCGCCTATCTTGCGAGCGAGAAAGCTAAAAGCACTACAGGCTGTAACTATGTTATAGATGGCGGTAGTTTATTGCGCTAAATAAAACGGTTACAATACCTAAATCCTGGTACGTGAGCACGTAGAATCCCGTCCAATGACCCCAAGCTACCATTACTACATTGGACGGGATTCTACGTGCTCACGTACCAGGCTTTAGAATATGAAATGTGTAAACTTTGTTTAGATTTAGAGAAAAATGTATTTTGAAAGTATTAGTATTTGTCTGCTACTTAAATAAGAATGTCTTTTAAGAAAATGTTATTGGATTTTTAGTTAAAAATGTACAAAACTACTTAAAATGTTTATAGTGTAGGAGATTGGTTTAAAAAAATCTAGTCATAATGAACACATCATGTTGATTACTAAAGTTAAGAATAAAGATATATTTATTAATTTAAATTATTTTTTTTACAATGAAATGCACAAGGCTTTATTGTTTTGATCCAAATCGCCATAAAATAATCTCTCATTGTTGAACAAAATTATTTTAATGAGGTCATCAAGGTAACACAAATACGTAAAACTACGACAGTATTTTTAAGAAATGACCTTTAAAATCCTAAACTATTAACCCTTTGACCGTCAAACAAGAAAATCGTTACCATATTTACCCACTTACAGTAAACAAAACAAAAACAGATATGCAATGAATCCAGATTAAAATCTTTCTAAACCCGAATCGGAAAGATAGCAAGCTAGATAAAAACATTCCAAGCTTGCACATACATGGCAATATCTACAGTGGCTATCTTCATCCTTTTTTGCCGTGCGCAAATGAAATCCTATTCAACAAGCCGCAAAACCTGTGCGATTTTCTCGTCAATCCGATCTCAGATTGAGTGCGTACACTCAAATGTCACGTGCCATTGCCAACTTGACGGCTAGGCTTTATTTTGTGGCTAGGCTGAAAGATGAGACTGTATATTTTTGCTGAAAACTCGCCCCTACTACAACTACTTAAGACTGCAGTTTAGCTTGATATCTCACCGTGTGTAAAAATACGCTGCATAATAATCATAATAAAGACTGGGTTCAAAACAACGCACTTGAATGGTAAACAATATTTAATTGATTGCTGAAGGACAGTAACTTATGTTGTTCAATAGTCCCAAAGTCATGAGTATTTTTCCGCACATTCTGTTCTTCTGAATCTAACTTATTAGGTGACCTTAGTCGCATAGGAATGACATAGTAGGAAGGTAACATTCATTATAGAAAAAATATAGGTGGAAATAACAAACTAATATATTCAGTAAAACAGATGTAGAGGCTGTGAATCACTGTGAAAAATAGAACCAAATAATACAACTTAATTTTTCTGAAGACTTTTCTAAACTAAAAATAAAAGGCTGGAGTTCAAATAACATTGAGAAGATGATGATAACACATTATTTCAAGTCGGTAATTTTTTGTCGGAAAATTTAACTTGGTCGCAATTACGCCGGTTCCTTTATAGGGGATGTAGCTCAGTGGTAGAGCGTTCGCTTTGCATGTGAAAGGCCCCGGGTTCGATCCCCGGCATCTCCAATTTTTATACTCCTTAGTAGACGACTTTTATGTTATGGAGTTCTACAAATACTGTACAAACTCTACGAATTTCTATTTTTATAACTAGGTATAAATGTAACTGTGTGTGCTTTAGTGACTGTTATAATTTATTTAAGATATTAGCTGTCACGCTTATAAGCCGCTATTCATGCTATTGAATGTTTCTTTGTGTTCCATTATTAATGACAAGCCTACCTATTTATTAATAAATTTCCGTCTTATCAATAACCTAAATGGAATCAAGACAAGTCAAAGAATCAGATAATAAAAACAAAATATAAGTTTTTCCCTTTTTAATAATTCCTTAGGATCAGGTCAAAACTATCCAGGTGATACACTCTGCAGTGTGTTGGAACAATTATTTAAATGCATACACAAATGGACTTCAATACAAGAATTATCGTGACTTTTCTTTGGAGATCACTTTTACTAGTTAAATATTAGCGTCTTTTAGATCCCAGTTAAACAACAAACTACAAAACATGTCACATCCAGCTATGAAAATACAAAGATCAAAATTGAAACAGCTGTTACTAAAACAACTTTATCATAATAAAATAATTAAAAAATATATCTACAGCCTACAGGGATACCATTACATTCAATCATAAACTAAAACATGACATGTCAAACAATTTATTTATTTACGATTACAAATAATTTACTTTTCAAATTATAATAGGTACAATAATAAATTATTTAAAATCATATTAATCAATGTACCGAAAGACAGGAAACAAATATCATAATTTGTAATTCTTATAGAGGAATGACAATCGAAATACGTTAAAGTCGATACGTTTATTGAATTAAAATATTTACATCGAATTTTAATCGATTCCTGAACACGATTCTGAAGTTTACGATGATCACTCGCTTATTCACAAACTGTTACTCTAGCAACACTAGGTATACGATGAACACATTGTAAAATTCCAAAAATCTAAATTATTTTTTAACATTTCCTTTTAGAATCTCAAGATTTATCGTAATCTAGGGAAACTGGAGTCAAAAACATTGGTTTGTTACAACCCGCTATATGAAGGTGAAGCTAATTAAATTAATTATACATAATTCATATGTATACAATACATACACATTAAAGATTTATTTAAATGAAATGAGAAGAGAGAATCCCCCGATACATAATGTACTAATATTATATTTTGTACAGGAGATCAAAATGAGTTGTCCTTACAATCCGTGTAACGGCAAGGTTTGTTCTACAATAAGGTTACAATATTTAGTACATCATATCAGTCAATAGTAATTTAAAAGCTTTGAACAAGTTCCTTCTGAAAAAGTGACCTAATACTATGAAGGTAGTTTGGATTACTAATGTTTGGCCAAAAAACGTTTCCCAAATTATCACATCGCAAACAACGTTTCGCAAATTTTCATTTGGCAAATTCTCATTTGGCAAAACAACTTATTGCAAACTTTTAATTCGCAAATGTCGTTTTTGGCATATTATTGTTTAGCAAATTATTGTTTGGCAAAGTATGTTTTGCCAAATGTTTCATTTGGCAAAAATATTTCACGATAAACTATTTACAAAATAATTTGATAGGTGCATAGAATGGAATACAAATTAGCTTGTGGTTATTATTTTGTTTAGTGGGTAGTTAATATGAAATTTGTTCTAAATTAATTTTCATATTTCACTCTTTTTATTGAAATTTCCAAATGATTCATTAACAATAGAGGTGATTCTAGCGCTCGGCGGCCGCTGCCGCGGCACGCTCACTTCGCTCGCTTCGCTCGCTCCGTTCGCTCGCCTTCGCGCGTTAAGGGTCACTGTTCTAACCTAACCTAACCTAGTATTTTGGGCAATACCTACTTTCTGCAACCATACTATTTTCTGCAATCTCTTTGTTTTACATACAATTCTTGTGAAAACCATGATCATGTGCCATAAGCTTTGATTTGTGGGTAACAGTGGGTAAGTATGTAAAAGTGTCAATTTGACCAAACAAATTATTTGGGATATAATGTTTGGCAAAATAAAACATTTGCTATATAAACATTTGCCAAGTAAAATTTTGCCAAATGATAATTTGACCAAATGAATTAGTTGCGAAAAGTACAGTTGCTAAAAGTTCATTTGGGAAATGAAACTTTGGCGATAAGTTGTTTGCGAAGTGAAATTTGGCGAAAAGTAATTTGGCCAAACGGAAGGATACCAGGTAGTTTATTTGTTAGTTTTTTGCAACGATTTAGAGCATACTGCCAGTCAAATGGACGTTATAAATTTTAAACACCTGATAAACGATCTCATTGAGACTACCTCAAAGGCGAACGATACATCGCCTTTATATTTATTTCTAGGCAGCATTTAGCAGGTTTAATACATTGCAATTCAATATACATTATGTCTAATACTCAATATAACGTTTCAGTAATGTGTCGATGAATTACATTTCGCAACAGTCGACTAATGTTAAAATTGGGGGCGTTTGGCGAAAAATAGCGCTAGCAAGTAAAATAGCGTCCTTTTAACGGTAAGTGCTGTCAGTGTCAGAAAAATTTATGGGAAACGTCACTTTGCTAGCAAATTCTAACAATGCTAATTATCGGCTGAACGCAGCCTTTGTCAATTGACTGGAAGTTTACCCTAGATGAAATAGGATTAGGTCAGTTCTTCAGGTCAAATGTACTCATTTTTGATATTTACACATTAACCGCCAACATGTTTTGTAGACAAACTTACAACCACAAATTATACGAAGAGAAAATGTGTTACTTAAAGTAGACTGGAATTTTTACTTTTTATTTATAAAGTAAAGCGACGATTTTTTTGTATTAGGTACTTATTGTAGCCTAGTAAGTTAAAATTCGGTTTATAAAGATAATCTTAACATGCTGACGATTGAAAACGGTATGTTTGCTTATTGTCGCCAGTCAGAAAAATGCTCAAATGTTTAGCCGCTTAATAGCAACATGGCAGAACTCAAAAGTAATTATGTGATTCTGACTCGACTTCAATCTGCAAAAGAACTACACTAAAACATTGACTGAAAAATACAATTAACTGCGCAGAAGTTATAACTAAAGTCTATTTAATAAAATAGTTAAGGCTACAACAATTTCATAGAAATATATCTTAAACGGTATAATCACATTGAACACCGAAACCAGATTCCATAATGGTACAGTACCTAATAAAATTTTATATTTTTCAATTTTTTTCATACAGTTTACATCATAATTATTATCCTTGCTTGTAGAAGTGAAATTTGAGCAGCGGGGTTACTCCAATACGCGACTGAAAAATTATCGATTTGAATTGATTTGAATGAACTGAAAAGTAAAGTCTTTATATCAGAGTAGCCCCAAGGAATGTCGAGAGCGATGACAGTACAACACTTCGATTTGGCCGCCCAACACGTCACTGTGAATTTACATTACACTAGAGTCGATTCACTTTGAATTTGGGCGTCGCTGTCGCTGACGCTACGCGCGGGGTTCGATCGCGGGCGGCGGCGGCGGGCGGGGCAGCGCGTCGCCGCACAGGCGGGGAGCGGGCGCGGGCGCGGTAGCGGGAGCGGGCGCGGGAGCGGGCGCGGCGCACTCGCGCTCCAGCGAGCCCGCAGAAGGGACCGAGGGCACGGAGGCGCGCTCCGAGGCGGCCGGCGACGGCGCATCCACATCATTCTGCAACGATCCAACGCGCTCAGCTGAGGCGCCGCCCGCTACAACACAGGCCGGGCCGGGACGGGAGGGGGAAGGGAGGGGCGCACCGTTACTCACGAGCCGAGGACACCGTCGCGTCGCAACGGACGCTTTCTGTCTCGCTTACACGCGATACAACTGACTATTAACTGTCTGTTTCCTTCTCACTCTTAAACACAAGAATGTTTTTTTTTTATTAATGGCAACCAAACCTCTCTGGGAGGTTTCTTTCTGCCAATTTCGAGTGAAAATTGACATAGTTATCAATAGAACGTGGGTGTTTCAGTTCTATTGATTTTTTATGGATTCCGTGGAGTTAAGTTAAGTACATATACAGTCGTGGTCAACTAATTAGGGACGTTATATGACTAAAACACAAGACCGTCTCTCCAGTCCCAAAAAAAAATCTTCACGAGGTTTTGTAGCTTGTGCCTATTGATAACAAGTAATTTAGCTAGTATTCTAAATATTTAAAGGCCAGAAAAGAAACTAGCTAGTTGCGATCAATATTTTTCAAATAAATAAATCATTGCCACCTACACATTTATTGACCTAGGGATGGACAACTAATTAGGGACACGTAACACTTTCACTGTGAATGTAAATAAATTGGAAATTATTTAAGTGTTTATTACATAAAAAGTTTTCATTAATAAATATAGAATACAAAACAAAATCATCAAACGTATTTTTAGAACCAATATGGTTGCTTTTGTTGGTTATAACCATTTGACATCGGCGCGGCATGGATGCAATCAAATCATTACAGGTTTCTAAAGAAATATTATTCCAAATACCATTAAATGGTACGAAATGCTGATTTTTAGTGCCAGTACGTTGAGCTGCAACTTTTTCCTTCGTTTCATACCATAAGCTCTATAGGGCTTAAGTCTGAGTTGTTTTCGGGCCAATCTAGTACCGTCACTGACTGTTGCGCTAGGAATTATTAAACAGAGTACGCGGTATGTTTTGGGTCGTTATCGTGTTGAAATGTTCATGAGACTGGTAAGACTTCTTCAGCATACGATAGCATCGTTTTCTCCAATATTTATTTGTATTGGAATTGCTCAAGTTTAACTTCAGTTCTTTTTATAGGTTACACTCTATGTCCAGAAAAACAGTCCCAGATTTTTATTTTGCCGCCTGTATGTTTCACCTGCTTCTTCGTTTACTTTGGTATCATTTCGGACTTTACAGGTCGTCGCACGTATTGTCTGTCATCGGATGAAATAAGATTTATCTTGATTTCATCAGAAAACAGCACATTTATCCATTGAGCAAAAGCCTAATGTCCATACTTTCTTGCAAACGCCAATCTTGCTTCTTTGTGTTCCATCTTCAGTAGTGGAACTTTTCGAGGAACTCTTCCTACAAGCTTTGCCTCCACCAGTCGCCTTCCGACGGTCCTCGCAGATACTCCAGCAGTCGGTTCTGGTCCAAAAATCTCGCTCTTGATCAGAACGAAACCCTTAAAGGGGTCTCTCTTTGCGAGAGTGACCATTCTGCGATCCATCTTGTGGGGTTGTTTTTATTGGCCTCTTCCTTCTAGGCATACTTTCTGTGGTTTCATGATTTTGAAATAAGCCACTGCATCGTAGATTCATGTTTTTGGAACATTTCAGATGATCTGCAATTTACCGGTATAGCCATCCACACTGATAAAGATTGATTATAACTTAGCGCAATAATTTGATGGGTTTTTAACTCGCAAGATAAGAATATCGCTTTTCAAATTGACGCCGAAATTACAAATGAACAGAATAAAAGTTATTACTTTTTATTTTTTTTATTTAGAAGGAAAAACTTAACCGTCCCTAATTAGGTGGCCAGACCGTCCGTACCATAATTACCAATTCATGTGATTTGATTAAGATTTTTTATTAAGTTAGTAAGTTTTTTTGTTGACATTGTATTCTGTTAAATAGAGTACTTGATAGTTAATATGTTTACAAAGTAACAGCCAGTAATGTTGAATGAAGCTCACAATAATAGAATATGAACACTTAGTATTGCTTAGTATTCTATCTGTCCCTAATTAGTTGACCACGACTGTAAGTAAGCAGGTTTCAAGACCCCACCGGGTCCAAAGCGGGTTGTTCATACGACAACCCACTCGACACTCGATGCGCGCTCAAATTCGAAGTATTTCGATGTTTTTTATAATTTATCACTTCACTGCACTTTAGAACACAAAATAACACCAAATTTGTACACTAAAGTCCATTAAATAATAAATTGAAACCATTAAAACAGATCGACCATGCTTCCCGTTCCACTAGGTACCCTCCACGGAATCCACAAGAATGTTAACATCCCGGTCTTTACTTGACAGACGTCAATACACACGGAAAAATATGCAACTTCATTATAATATAAACGATCTCTCAATATACCCGTCGAGACAGATAGCGGGACGTTGCGAGGCGACACGTTCGGGCTAAATGTTCTGTGCTGATGATAGTACGGATGATGTGTTTCGAAAACTATGAAAACAAAATTTCAACGAGTAAAATTATATTTGAACTAAGTTTTAATGACAAAACAAAACAAGATGTACTACTAAAACTAAATTTAGATGATATTAGATTAGAGTTTAGTTGCAGAAGCGTTTTCGCCAAATGAGACACATAAAGCTCAGATCGATTGTTACGAAAGCAAAAATGATGATGGTTGATACTATGACAATATAAAATAAAACTTAAATGAACGGTGCAATATCAAATGTTTCAATCCGCTTACGTATGGCCACGGATTTCACATGTCAAACTACCATAGAGAAAACATTTTCCTTTTTAGTCTATGCTCCCATGAAAACTAGTTCTGTAATCTATGGTGAGCGTTCTAATGACTGTCAGCACATCGCGAGTTTTACTGGTGCAATAGGTAAGCTCATTTAGTGATGAGTAACTGATATTGCATGCAAAAGGTCACTGAAAATGGTTTGTAAAATAATCTTTGTGCATCATGCTTCTTTCACAACTAAAATATGAATTAATTTACTTTAAAAACATAATATAGCATGCATTCTTAAAATTGTACTAGTTTCCAACACTGGATTCACTTTATCATGTCTGTGCTCATAACTTATTCTTAAATAAGCTACCATTTAGTAGCTCTTAACAAATATTTGACTAGCTACAGTGCAATGAGTATTTTTCAATAACACATTTAAAATACATAAATAAAACCCGTAAAAAAACACTTTGGCTTGTAGAGATTCGACTAAAATCGCTTGGCTTCTGATTTGTCGAACATCATCTCTGACATTTCATGACTTGAAATGAGACTACATTTAGAGAGCAAGCTAAGACCGTTATCACAGCAATTGCAACGGTATTATGATTAAATTAAGATTTATTACTGTTTGTCATATAAAAATCGTTTGCCCTTCATACCTTCCCGATATGGTGTGACTATTAACCATAAGTGTCACGTTATTTAATAACAAATGACGGTATAAAAAAGCTATAAAGGACCATTCAGCAGCGAAATATCTAACTCAAATAAAACTAAATTAGCATTTTTCTAACTAACATTAATAGGAACCTGAGATATTAAAAGCTAACACTTCTATTATATGCTAGCATAAAAGCATAAGAATACTGGTATTGTGAAATGAAGGCAAATGTTTGAAGCAGTGTGGGAGTCAAATGCGGCTTTAGTAAGCTGTAAGTATATCATAAATATAACAAGATATAAGAAAGAAATACATAATATAAATATATGTATAACTAAATAAATACGCAATTAAATTGAATTTGTAAACTATTTACAATTCTTACTGCCTTGTACCTACTATCTATTTTACGCTGATGACTATTCGTGAATACAATATACTTTATTGGGTTATCTACCTAACAAAAGCGATGACTTACAATATAAATATTCAAATAGCTATGTATTACATAATATAATCAAAATACGCATTATTATCTGTATCTAGACTAGTATAAGGTGTAAATTTCTACAGCGAATACCTTTGGTACCATTATCACATTATATTTACCTGCCACAATGTTGTTAGCACCTAAATAATAAAATTGGTATATGATTAATATCTATTTCAATAGATACAATTGACTACAAAATTTACCTATTACCATAAACACTAAACATGAATAAAGTTCAAAAAAGCCTAGACGCTAAACGTACAATAACAATTTTCCTATAAACATTGGTAAAAAATTCAAAAATAGCTTTTTTACGCACAAAGGATCTATGTAAAAATTGGCCTCATGCTTTATTTACATTGGAGTCGACGTCATACGCATTTAAAACTCTATGATCCTCCAACCGGTTACAATACAAAACCACATTACGACATACACATCGAGAAAACATTTTAACAGAACAGTTTCAATTCTATGACCTCTAATTTTGTCGGTAATCTTCAATATTTTCTAAGTAACATTTCTAGCTCTAGCACATAGCACAATAGTCTAGCCGGTTCGGGATGCTATGTCCGTAGTCTATGGTTCTATGGGTCATAGACAACTGCTAATGCAACGTCCGGTAGCCACAAGGGTCCCGCCTACGTCCGAGTTGACTTACTGTGAGCGACTTGCTTACAACCCAAGTAGGCGCGCCTCAGCGCACTAGTCACTTTGCCCTGACAATCAGCCACAATCCAACATTTTAGTAACAAAAATTTATGTAAAGAGAATGCAATAGTAAATGTTTCTAACTGATATAAATGTAAAAAACGTTCGTGACATCTTTAGAAATTCGAAATCGATTGATTCACAGGACTTTCCCAGAGTATTTCGCTTTTGATTTGATAGACTATTTTGAAAACATTTAAATAATGTAATTATTACTTACATCTGTTTACTTTAGGATATAGATTCTCAGTTTTTCTTTTAAAGAAATGGATATCTTTTGTCAACAAGTATGACGTCACATGCAAGTATCTGGCATTGTTTACTATTTAACTCACGATTTTGACGTCATATTAAGTCATAAGATTGGAAATGTTTTTCACATAGAAATACAACTTTAAACTACCTGTCGAATAGTTTATTGTAATCCTGTAAGTTGTATACTTCTACCTGATATCATGGGTTTGATTGAGCTCACCATCTATCTAACCAAATTGTTATTTCATGAAGTACATTTACAAACTGGGAATGACCGTGACTTCAAAGCTTAACTTATTCGATAAATGTTCAAAACTGCATTATATCCGACGAAAAGAAAACAATGATTAAATTAGAATAGAAAAAAACATGCTGGATTAACGAAAAAGGTTCTCACCACGCTAACTCCAGACTTGCCCTGCAATTCACAACACCGTTTCATTCCGATTCCTATTATTTTTATCCTATAAAACCCTACTTAAAATGGCAGTGATAATATCAATTCCTATCATATAAACTCTTATTACATAAATAAACTTGAATCAAAATATACATAATGACAAAACATATAAATATAATAAGAAGGGATAGGTACATACATAATAACCACGTTTGTTTGCGACCTTCGAACCTTTATAATAATTTTGAACTTCAGTTTTTCAAGGAACATCTTAAATGATTTTGCTTTGCCCATGAAAATTTGTTTAAAATATAATTGGTTTTGTTCATCCACTCATACGGTGTAACGGGTGTTATCAGTGGGTAATAATAACCTAAGTGAATAAATTAGCTACCCAGCTTTAATTATTTTGAAAAACTAAACCAAAACTCTGAATATTGTTCAATGAGTTTAGGCTATATTCTTCCCTTTTGCCTCTGGTAAACTATACACAAATTATGGTTAAGCTGCAGTGGAGTCCAAGATGATGAAAAGGGTTTATCTACATATCTGATGCTTACATACTCCACAATGGGCGTCAAAGCTGCAGAATCACACAAATCCCTACATAATGTGTAAATCCACAATATCCGATGGGCAAAGCTTAAAAATTTGGGCAAAGCTAAAAATCCTGTTCGCTCACAACCGGCGAACGCGAGCATTCGCCCGCGAGCGTTCGTTCGAAGGTCGCGAACAAGCGTTCACCAGCGGGCCGCGGCGAGCGCGAGAGCCAGCAAAGCGAGTAGCGCGTGCAGCCAGCGCCGTGGCGCGGTTACCTTCAGGGGCACCGGCGGGACCTCCAAGTGGTAGCCGATCTCGCACAGGTTGCGGAGCAGCTCTAGGCCTGGAAAGCAGAACAAATAAAATTAAAAAACAAATAAAACCCTCATTCAAAACCCGTTTAAAAGCTACGATGCCATAGACAGACCCTCCCTTTTTGCGTCGGGGGTTAAAAAGGAACATACAGGGTGGAAACGATAAGTGATCTCACTCGATTATTTCTAAACTATACAAGATATCAATAAACTAGTTACTGATCCTGAAAGTGCTTCATGAGCTCTATTAATCCGGTCCAACATGGCAAAAATCGGAACCAGCGATTCGGTATTGACGGTGGCGCCCCACTGTCAATGTCATGGATAGGACAGTTCAGTATTTTGGAACTTTACACATAAAAACTTTTGACACATAATGACAAAACTGCCAATTAAAACCAATGGGTGCAGATACAGAGTAAAGACCAGTGTAAAAAGCATGTATGCTGAACTTATTGAATATAAACATTTAAAAAACGTACGTAACGTGTAACAAAATGCTAACGATAAAAGTTTCTTGATACTTGAAGGAATCCTGAAAATCGTACATCTATTATGAATTTTAAAAAAAATTGTACAGGGTGTTACTTTGCATTCTTGCCATATTTACAGAGGTAACTATATTACTGATACTGAACACAAATCCGTTAAAAAATAATGCCCGAAAATTTTGATTTTTAATTTTGAATATTTTATTTTATCGACAATCTGTTAAACACATCACTAACTATCGTAACGCATGCACATCACTTGTTAGCGATGGCGATGGAGACTTTTTTACTTTTTATTGTATTTTTAAATATCTATTGCAATCTATTGTCTTTAAAATGTCTTTTTGACACTTGTAAAAAACTGAGAAATCCATCAATCACAAAATATCATGTTATAAATAATACAAAAANATCCTCGGACCTTACACCAATGGACTATTATTTTTGGAGTGACTTGAAACGACTTGGTATGCGCAGAAGAGATAAAAAGTGTAAACGTGTTACGTGAAAGGATTGTTTCAGCGAAACTGTGAGACAAAACGTTTATGTGTTGCGAAAACTAAATCGAAATACCCACGTTTCGTCGTGCTAGACTGTGCCTTCATCAGAACGGAGGACACTTTGAACACTTGCTTCGCAGTACGTCAACTTTGTAAGTAGGAACTCATAAATAAATGATTAATTGTGAATAAGGTGATTTCATTTCATACTTAATTTATTAATTTGTAAAAATAGGGAACAATGTTATAAATTAATTAAAAGCCTAATAATTATTACGTATTTTTGACGGTCCTAAGCCCGTAAAGTAGAATCTGAGAGTAGAAAGGAAAATCTAAAATCAACTGAAGAGTATTTTAAAATAATTATTATGACTGGATAAAAAGGCTGGTACCCAGAGCCATAAAACATCACAGATTAATAAGAACTAGGCCACGCCCACTAGGTTTATTCCACTTGCACCTGTAGAAAGTGCGACACAAAATTGGTTTATTCCAATTTGTACTGCAAAACCAAATTTACTAAAAACTCAGTGTACTTTATTTATGGGAGTCCCTTGTTTATCTTAAATAATAGGTATTGGTCCCTACTTTTATCTCTGTGAATATGGCAAGAATGCAAAGTAACACGGTGTATATGATGTAAACAACCAAAATATAAGTTACATAAAACAGATATGTAAAACATAATAAAAAAAACATAAATGGAAAAAAAAAAAAAAGCAAAAATTTGGAGATGCCGGGGATCGAACCCGGGGCCTTTCACATGCAAAGCGAACGCTCTACCACTGAGCTACATCCCCGATGACGGAGTCGGCGAAAAACGTGAGCATTTTAAGAAGCTATTCAATAAAAGGTATTTTGCATGATATTTTTACACATTTTTATGTATTTGATGCACAGTAGATGCTCAAAGAAAATATACAGCAGTTCCAGCTACCCATTTCCATTTTTTCTCTCGCCCTTATCAAACGGCTATTCTTTGCGATAGAACGAGACGACATGACCGGAAATGAGTACGGATTTCTGTGCACAAGATTTTAAAGGCTCATCAGTCTGACCTATTTTCGTGTCCAAGCGTGCATACTGATCAGAGGCGTCCTGTGCGATGCATGTAGGCCATATTAATGGTTTGATTGAATTTCACAATAATTAAATGCTACCTACCTGGATTCTGTCAATGTGTGAACTAGTTGGAAGTATTTATGTATTTATAAATGTAAACTTATGGGTGTCGTTCTTCGAACTCCTCCTATATTCTTCTGATTAATTTCGTTAATGACAGTGACAGTTTTACTTTCCCCCGGGACAAACTTGACCTTCTCTGGTTGGCGGTCAAGCTGGAGATCCTGGCTACACACAATTTGCAGAGGTCGGAACGAGAGGTGGGAATTTCTTGTGTGGGCTCCTCAGTCTCGCCCGGGTCACAGTGACTCACCCGGCGTGCGGTTGGCGGCGTAGCGCGCCTCCCAGGCGTCGAACAGGCGGTTGTATAGTCTGGTCCGTGAGCACGTAGAATTTTGTCCAATGACCCCAATCTACCCATCCTTATCGCCCGCACGTAATTATGTTGCTGACGCGCTTGCACACTCATTGCGGGCGCGCGTCGCACAGTCGCGACGGAAATATAATTACGCGCGAGCGATAAGGATGGGTAGCTAGGGGTCATTGGACGGGATTCTACGTTCTCACGGACCAGGCTTTACACACGAGTTGCAGAGGTGGGAATCTTTCTGTGACAGTGACTCACCCGGCGTGCGGTTGGCGGCGTAGCGCGCCTCCCAGGCGTCGAACAGGCGGTTGTAGTAGCGCGGCCCGGCCAGGGACAGCAGGGCTTGTGGTGCAAGCTAAGGGGCCGCGTCTCGCCCGGGGCACAGCGACTCACCCGGCGTGCGGTTGGCGGCGTAGCGCGCCTCCCAGGCGTCGAACAGGCGGTTGTAGTAGCGCGGGCCGGCCAGGGACAGCAGGGCTTGTGGTGCAAGCTAAGGGGCCGCGTCTCGCCCGGGGCAGTGACTCACCCGGCGTGCGGTTGGCGGCGTAGCGCGCCTCCCAGACGTCGAACAGGCGGTTGTATAGTCTGGTCCGTGAGCACGTAGAATTTTGTCCAATGATCCCAAGCTACCCATCCTTATCGCTCGCGCGTAATTATGTTGCTATCGCGCTCGCACTCACTGTGGGCACCCATCGCACAGTCGCGACGGCAATGTAATTACGCGCGAGCGATAAGGATGGGTAGCTTGGGGTCATTGGACAGGATTCTACGTGCTCACGGACCAGGCTTTACACACGAGTTGCAGAGGTGGGAATCTTTCTGTGACAGTGTCTCACCGGGCGTGCGGTTGGCGGCGTAGCGCGCCTCCCAGGCGTCGAACAGGCGGTTGTAGTAGCGCGGGCCGGCCAGGAACAGCAGGTATTTGTGCGTGTCGTGCGTCGGAAACACCCGCTCCATGTCGCCGGCCTGCGTAAGCTCGTCTTCGGCCTGGATGAGGTGCCGCACGTCGTCCGGCGTCAGCGTCGACAGGATGTCGCGAAGATACTACGAAGTAATTTATAGTTCAGATGATGCCACTTCAAGTTAAGCAATGTGTGGTTGGAGTAAGAGCGATTTTGCAAAACATTAGACACATCCAACAATAATTCGAAACGACTTCTCGGTGTGCAATCTGTATTTTATCATAATTAAATGAAAAAAAAAACACATTAGTACACAACTTACCATATCTCTTTCCTCCATGTTTGTATAAATAATATGTTTATCTCTTTCTTCTTTTGACAGGTACACAGTGTATAATCTGCTATCGTAAGGCAACCCCGCCTGGAAAAGTATATTGTAATTGAACATACATCATACATTTACCGCTACTGCACATGTTTTATCACTAATGAACTTAGCATTATAAAATAGACGTAAACTGACCCAATATGGCATGCTAACATTAGGCCTCCCCAACAAAAGACAATGCCGGAAATAGGCATCTTTTTTGACGCCACCTTCCATACAAAATCTGGCATTGCCAATTGACCAGGGCGTCCCTCACCCTTGCCAAAGTTGGGGAGGCCTTTCCCTCCATTTTCCTCTGCTAAATTAGAGTGGGTCGTGCTCCTTCACTTTATGACCTGACGATGATAAAATATAAAGATTCTTGGACAACTTTTGACTTACCAGCTTGTGTGGCTTCTCCTTGGAGAGCATCTCCAAGTTGGTCTTGATGGGTACCTGGAACTGCGCGATGTTGAGCACCGTGGACACCAGAGGACCCTTCACGTGGATGTCCAGCGGCGACGCGCTGTGCAGACTTGGTGAGATGTTCACCTGCAAACAGATTGCAAAACTGTGAGCCAAGAGACCCCGCAGAGTACAGACGTTTTATCAACCGATATTATACGAGCCGGCACTCATTTAAGGAGACGGTCAAGATAGGTGTTGTCAACAAACCACATTCAGATACTGGCTAGCTGAGCGTTGTTTTCATCTGTCGTAATAATATCACAGTGACGCCTACTGGTGACCGTATAAGGTAGCGTCGGTCTATAGCCGTAATGGCTAGAATGCTAGATAAAGTATAAGGACTATTTATTATTATCTAGCATTCTAGCCATTACGGCTAGAATGCTAGATAATAATAAATAGTCGCTACCTTAGGACGCTACCTTATTTACGGTCACCAGTAGGCAACTTTCATACTTAATGCAATGAGTCAAGATAAAGTCCGGTCGCCGAGTAGATAGAATTTCGTACAATGACCTCAAGTTCTTATCGCTCACGCGTAATTATATTACCGTCGCGCTCGCACACTCACTGTGCGAAGGGCGGCCGCAGTGAGTGTGCGGTGCGAGCATTCGAATTCTATCTGCTCGGTGACCGGACTTTAGAGAGAAAAATATGTCTGAATGAAGATTGTAGGCTCTTGGTCAAAGTTTTACCCAGTAGCATTAAGTCCGCTATCCACTAACCTCCAACAGCCAAGGCTTGAGATCCTCGTCTAACAGCACGTCAATGCCAAACAGCTCATAGCAGTTGTACCGCGACGTGACGTTGGCTTTGGTCAGGGAACTGATGCTAGCCTCGCCGGAGATTATGGTCTTGATGACCAGGTCCTTCATGGAGTCCCATAGCGCGTCTGTGTCGACGTTCTTCTCAGTCTTTAGGTAGTGGAACAGGGTTTGTAACGTCCTGGAAATGTATAAGTAATGTTAATTATGTACATGCTCATTGCTATCTTAGTTTTTTGTTTAGGTTGGATAAAATGCCAAAGAAGAAGTATATTAGATACAGCAAATTATGTATAGAAATGAAATAGACCAAATATTATTCATATAAAAAACTCTTTCAGTATTTTAAAACTGCAAAAATCATCACATAAACAATGTGAGCCCTAGCCCAGGGCTAATGCTCTGGGACTGTTTTATTTTATTTTGAATACATGCCTTGTTTGTACCACTAAACATAAAGATATTATGATTATGATCTTCTTTAGTTACTTAGACCCTGAACAGACGGTGAAACGCAACTGCAACGAAACTGCAACTGCTAGTTACTTTTGAGGTGCATCTAAGTTTCTGTCATAGCGTCCGTTGAGAGACCACACATGACGCGACGAGTTTGGAACTTTCAGTTTCAGTTTCATTCATCAGATCATCACAAAGTTGCAGTATCGTTGCAGTTGCGTTTCACCGTCTGTTCTGGGCCTTAGGCAATCATGTTCAAATTCAAATTATTTATTGCAAGTCACATGGGTAATATTATGATGACATTATTGAAATCCAACATTTTCAATAGTCCAAAGCTTAAACGGCTTAGCTTTTAACACTCCTACCCTGAGCTTATTTAAAAGAAAACAATTAGAAATAAACAAAGCAATATCTCACCACTTATGGCCCTCGCAAGCCGCGAAGTCTTCATTTGGCGTGTAGTTTTTCGACAGTCTATTAATTGAGTAGTTTGTCAAGTGCATATACCGGTCGTTGAGTGACGTCAGCTCGTCGTTGTACTTAACTGCAAAAGAACAATAATCCTTTGTTACGTGATAATGAACGTTACATTAATTTGATAAGATACCGTGGGAAGCTAATATTTACAAGATATTATGTAAATCTGTAACTGAAGAGATTAAATTCTTGTGTAAAGCTGTAATTTTTCAAGATAGATAAGTTTAATCCGTGCTTATGTTAATTTAGTGATAAACGCCGTGATAGCTACGACTAATTCATCGCGTTCAGCCTTCTTTCGCATTAGTATATGCACGGTTACGATTGCTAGAAATGTCGAGATGCTTTCACGCCAAGGTCTCAGCCATGACTACGATCGTCAGCGAATCGAAGGTGGGTTACTCGCCGTTGATATTTATCCGCTCCAGTCCAGAAGCTAGAAGACATTTTCCAGGGCGGTGGTGAACAGTTTCGGAGATATGACGTCTCCCTGTCTTACCCCTCGCTGCGACTGGATAGGTTTCGAGTCCCGATCCTGAAAGCGGACCGACATAGTGGCGTTTTTGTACTACTTTGGCACCGTTGGAGAGACTGTAGCACTTCCCAGGTCTCCATCGAATCGAAGGCTGATACGTTACCTGAAGCGAATCTGGCCAGTCCGTCCTTGTAGAGGTAGATCCGGAGCGGACGAACGAGGTAATGGTCATTGATAGCTATTATCCTGCTTTCGCCTCCGAGATTTATTTTACCATGTAGTACCCCTGTACGACAAGCCAATCCGCACACAATATTCAGCGCAGTAGTAGTAAAAAACAAAAGAGCGGGCAACCCCACCCCTACCACGCTGTGGGCTCGGTGTCCGAGCGGTCTCATTCCTTTGTGCGCACGCGCAACGACCGCACGCAGTATAAGAAAAATGCTTAAGTGACGTCACCAGGACGTTTTTACCGACAAAAAACGTAATTATTTTAAGTTGTGCAGTGTAGTGACGAGAATTAGACCCAACACAAGGTTGGTTGTAACAACTATTTTGTGCAAGTGCTCGTACATTTTTATTATAAGCGTTGTGACACGACGCGTAACTTTGACCCATTTTTAGCTCCAAGTTAACGCGCGATGTTAACCAGTAGCCATTTTTTATTGAATGATCAAACGAACTTACCAAGTGAAGTTCGATCTAAATTATCCTGTTTTCGCCGAAGAGATTTAAGGTCCCTCCCAACCCGAAGATTTCTATATCTTCTTCCCTGGAGGTAAACGTCAATGTCATCTCTTCTCTAAATATAATGAGACCGCTCGGACACCGAGCCCACAGCGTGGTAGGGGTGGGTTTGCCCGCTCTTTTGTTTTTTACTACTACTGCGTTGAATATTGTGTGCGGATTGGCTTGTCGTACAGGGGTACTACATGGTAAAATAAATCTCTTCGGCGAAAACAGGATAATTTAGATCGAACTTCACTTGGTAAGTTCGTTTGATCATTTAATAGTTGATGAAACACGTTCCTTAGGTTACCTGAAGCGAATCTGGCCAGCCCGTCCTTGTACAGGTAGACCCGCAGCGGGTGCACGGAGGTGACGAGCACATACAGTCGCATGTCGAACTTGTTCCCGTTGATGAGGTACGGCTTGGCCACGTAGCGTTGCACCACCACCGGCCGCTTCTTGGGTATTTGCGTCCAGCGGGAAACCACTTTGATGCCTGTACCGCGCGCGGACGCCGGCTGAAAAAGAACATAAGATATTTGTTGAATGATGGAAAATATGCTGAGACAGAAAAAGTATAAGCTAGTTTCACCCGGAATCATCATCAAAGGAACTATTTTACTTCTTGCCGAAAAACAATTACTTTTAAAACTTATTATTAAACAACAATTACGTAAAACGATTGGTGATATAGGTTAGGCGGACTTAGAACTTCTTAGCCATTACACTAAAACCAAATCGAGCAGTAAATTTTGCCGCAATCGAACAAAGGTCACCAACAGAGTTTGAGACAGGAGACCTCTCTAACTAGATCACAGATGATGACAATAAAATTTATTTGTAAACATTCTGGTAGTTTTTTTTACATTTTTATTTGTAATTCATATACCGGGCGATTAAAGCTACTTTTTTCTGTAATAAATAAACTATTGAATGCAAATTACATTGAATGAAACACTTACCGGCTTGATGATCCACTTCTCATTGTTAGCAGCGTACTTTTCCCAGTCGTGCTTGAGCAGCCTCAGATCATGCGGCAGGACATACGTCTTCGGCATGATACCAAACTCGTTAACACCAAACTTGATGGCCAGCTTCTGAAGGTTTCTCCAGAGGCGGTCCTTGCGGCCTATTTGGAAAGTCCCGGGGAAGTGGTTCATCTTCTGACCGTCTTTTATGGCCCGGAACATGAGAGACTTCATGTGCTTGCCCCATATGCCTATCCATTCCACTGTCTCTGTAAAGAGGAAAAGATATCATAGGTAAACTTTTACTTATTTACCTCAATATCAGTTCGTCGGCAGTGAATGAATCAAAATGGAGTCTATAACTCTGTCTTAAAATTATCAATGAAGTAGGTAATGGCAGGCCTGTTCATCTCCGCGCGTTTACATCGAAAACAAAACACTCACGATGGCCCACCTACAGGATACTATTCGACAAGGCCTCACATACGAGCGAACATTGACTCACGCACGCGTATTCTTGTGTATGATAGAAAAAAATAAAGAAAATGGTGTACTAAATACTGTGCAGTATTTAACTGCCTAAATAATAATAAAAACACAGAATGTCATGTACTTTTTTAAGTTGCCTCAAGACACTGAGAGGTAAATAATTAGTTAATATTATTCATGATAATTCATGCTAAATCATGTATTTCCTCCGCCATTTTCCGCAGTTTGGCACCTCACGTCACATCATTTTACCGAAGTCAGCCCTATAGCTTCGGCGCAGTGCCGATCACTGACGTTTGTCAACAAAATGGTGCTTGACTCTTGAGACAGGCTAAATTACACCATATTGTTAATGACATTGAGCACACATTTTTTTAAATACCTTCGCGAAGTAAAACTTCTGTATGTAGTACATATTATTATTCTGTGGTAATGGTGTCATAATCTCGGTTACAACTATGTATGTATTAAACAAGTTTATCATCCACGAGCATTTGTTTTGGCCCATCCGGCTCGAAGGACCAAGAAAATCATGAACAGTTCAACGAAAAAAGAATAGAGACTCAAAGCGGTACAGAATATATAAAAAAATCAACCAACCTTCTTGCGGACACTCCGCCGTATCACATTCGCTCTTCACCAGTCTAAAGCCAGAGTTGGTGAGTGTTTTCTTAACAACTATCGGAGTGATCGTGGTCAGTTTCCACTTGAGGTGCTTCTGTATGGGCACTGGTATCTTGAGAGGTACCGTGTCCTCGTGGCCGACGAATTTCAGGTACGGAGGCACGCGGGGAAAGAGGGACGGTCGGAGGCAGCTGCTGATTGCGTCTGGTAGACTGAGGGGAGATTCTGCAAAGAATATTAAGGTTATGAAGAGAACATATTGGTGTGATGGGCGAAGCTACACTAAGGAAAGAAAATTGCGCATTACAAACCTGACCATAGGCAACCGTCAGCCTATCAACTGTAGATAATAATTAAAGCCTATGAAATAACTAGGCACTTGAAATGTAACAGTCAGACGACTTCAGTCAATGTTTTAAAAGTGTTACGAAAAATATAAAATCGTCTAGTGAATAAGGCTTTACATTAAATTATATCGAAGTATCTCCGTCTAATCTACCATGATAGTAAAAAAATATAACTTTATAACTAACACAAGCTACAGAATATACATATACAAAATACTAGTGGATGAATATACTTTGATGATAATCGTTTAGCAGGTATGAGAATAAAAATGAGGATATTAAAAACAACATCAAGATTCAAGACTTCAAAAAGTAAACTTAAATGCACCCGGATCTAAGAAATACTCGTACAATTCATTCTTTCTTCGATTTTTATGATAAAGTTCAAAATATCGATAACAATCTTTGAAGTTCATGACCGAAACCATGAAATTCAAATAGCATGGTGGTTAACCCTCATAATATCAATTAATTCATTCAAAATAATGCTAAGAGGTACCCGGTTGCGTTTTACTAAGGGAGGTATCAAATAATTCATGAGACTTTTGCGCGATAAGTATCCGACCTGTGGTTATTACAAAATTGATTTTTAAGCAAATATTTTTAGAACAAAGGCAGACAAACTTTATTATAGTTAGACTCAACTGTCCTCTAACTCGCACATTATACTGTAAAAGCGTGGTAATTACTTTTGTTCTAATCTAGTTTTTGGCTCTATTTCTACTGATAAAAAATTATAATTTTGCACGAACTTCTATCACTGGCGTTTATTAGGCCGGATACTCATCGGACAGGATAATGGGTACAAATTACAAAAGTACGAAGTTAGTAACATTAACCTTTGCGTGTCGGCAGGGCTTTAAACGGATTTGTCGTGTGTAATGCCGTTATGAACAGTTGTTCCTTGTTTATCTTCTCTGTAAACAATAATCAAAGTTTACATGGCAGTTTGTTTGACAATTTGTCGCACGCAGGGAGCATTATAAGTGATTTTTGATGGCGGCTGTGGATCTCGATTATTGATTTTATAGTTATGGAAATCGAATAAAAAAGAAAGGACGATAAAAAAGGCTAATCCGTAAATATGCGTAAACTTTTTGAGTGGAACAGTCATCGCTTTATTACAAAACGTATTTTGGAAACATTTCTAGCAGAATAGTCATCGCTTTGACAAAACGTGTTACCAGTAACTGTCAAATTGTCAATGCTTAAATAAATCACTCGATAAATATTTTTTGAGTGAGTCCACTTGTAATATCTGGACGTTTGCAGTGATTTTATCAATGGCTTAACATGTGTAGATACGGCGAAAAATGTGTTTTTATTAAGTTTATAATGTTAACAGCTGATCTTATTGGTAGATAAGTACGCCATCGATCATCATGTATCAGTACGCAAACATAAGCGGTTCATGTAAAAGTAGGCTATGTAATGATGTCAGATTTAAATGACAGTCAAAATTGCATGACATGTTTTTGACTCGTTTCGTTTTCGTTTCGTTTCAGCCAAATGACGTCCACTGCTGGACAAAGGTTTTTGACTATTCATACCTAATCAACAAATGGATATGTTTCTGTTAGTCTTGTTTCCTTAATTTTGTAAAATTAATCAATATTTTACATTTGGTAAGTGTGGTAATAAAAAAAACATCTGACTCAGTAAGCCGTCAACTGCTCTGACCGCTGAGCTTTTGTTTTCCAATCAAATAGGTCTTTTTTTTTATGCATAACAAGGCAGGTATTTGACCATATTCACTCTCGCCTTGAAAAGGCCCGGATTATAGTTTTCGGGAAAGACAGCAGCAGGCAACGAATTCCAGTCCCTAGCTGTTCGCATTATAAAAGAGTCATCGAAATGCTTAGTGAGAGCTGGTGGAATGTCAACAATATAGGGATGGTACGCTAACCTGCGTCTGGTTCCCCGATGATGGAAGGGGGCTCAGATTTTTATGCTCTGTCACGTCATACTATGTAATTGTCACCCCTCCCGTGAAACAGGGCGATGTGGAAATCTTTGGGGAGACCTATTTTCAGTAGTGGACGTCCTGTGGCTGAAATGATGATGATAATGATAATGACCCCTCCTATTCCGTTCCCATACCTCAGGCACTCAGTTAAGCGGTTATACCTATAGTCGCGTTTAGTTTCCAAATGCCACCTGAGAATTGTGTTTCGAGCATATTTTTCCAACTCACCTTTAGAAGGCACCTTCTTGGGCGAGACGACGGTCCCGTTCAGTTTGGTGGACAATTTGTTTATGGAATTAGGGTCGGGGTGGTCTTCCCTCTTGAAGGTCCGCTCTACCCTGTCTATGATGTCGGCGGGCACTGTATCCGTGTCCATCTGCCACGCGGAGTCAGTCGTGTCTGGGGACGGTGATCTGCTGTGAGCACTGAAAAAAAAAATTAAATTAACCTTTAGTTAGTATATTTATTTTAAACACATAACACGCTACAATTTTTAAAAAAGATTCCAAAAATACGTTGCTTAGATCGCTTTTTGTTTATATTGAACCTTACTTCATTTCGAAAAACCAAAATTAACCAGGTTAATTGTGAAGAAGATATGAATCAAGGTTGCCTTGATTCTAAAGCGCTATGACGCTTCTTAGCCAAATCCTTTATTTGTCTGGTGTGGTGGCAACAACAACCAACCTAATGGGTATGAGAATTTGTCATTATATCCGATAGCCAGAGACATAGTTAGCCAGAGCACAGAATAATAATAAGTACTACGTACAGAAGTTTTACTTCGCGGAGGTATTTGAAAAAATGTATGCTCAATGTCATTAACAATATGGTGTAATTTAGCCTGTCTCAAGAGTCAAGCACCATTTTGTTGACAAACGTCAGTGATCGGCACTGCGCCGAAGCTATAGGGCTGACTTCGGTAATATGATGTGACGTGAGGTGCCAAACTGCGGAAAATGGCGGAGGAAATACATGATTTAGCATGAATTATCATGAATAATATTAACTACTTATATACCTCTCAGTGTCTTGAGGCAACTTAAAAAAGTAGGTACGTTCTGTGTTTTTATTATTATTTAGGCAGTTAAATACTGCACAGTATTTAGTACACCATTTTCTTTATTTTCTTTCATCATATACAAGAATACGCGTGCGTGAGTCAATGTTCGCTCGTATGTGAGGCCTTGTCGAATAGTATCCTGTAGGTGGGCCATCGTGCGTGTTTTGTTTTCGATGTAAACTCGCGGAGATGAACAGGCCTGGCCAGAGCCAGAGACACAGTTAGCTCTATCCCGAAATTTCGAATCAACTGCTTTATAAAATGTTATAAGGACAGAAGCATATACCCAGTTCTATTTAAATTATCACAAGAAGTACCGCGCATTATCACTTACTTGCATTTATTGGCATTTATGCAACACATTTCTAAAAGAAAGTACATAATCCACCAATAAGAACTCGTAAGCTAATTTTTTCTAGGTCTAGATGGATAATTTGTAAATATTATTGCAGAAGTGGAATCTCACCTTTATAATAATCATGTATCTCATAATATACACAAACAGTAAAGATAACAGAATCTTTATGCATTATTTAAGAAATATTTAAATAATTAAGTAACAGGCTTTATAATTTGTAGTGTCATTGTAGAATATTAATTGACGTAAGTAGTAAATGTATTTGACATCACAAGAACTATCTATTACGACACAGGAGAATAGTAAGTGTTAGTACCATTTATTTATTTAACAATGATTGTCTGATAAAATCGATTCATTAGATCAACATTAAAATTTAATGTAACTTTTCCTATATGTAACGACACATTGTAACTAATTAATTAATTATGTGTCATGCATGATGATGATTCATAATATTTACTTTCAAAACATGCATGTCTCGTATTTTCCATTATCCTTCACTCTAATCACAATAAGTAAAATTTTCGCACAATATTATGATTCCATTTATTTTGCGATTTTCTTTTGTCTTGTAGGGTCATGTTGCCTGTTCGCGTCTAAACGACGGACCAGTGTTTAAAAAAAGATTTGTAAAAGCGACAGTAGTAGTGTATGATAATAAGTAGTGTCTTATGTGAAATAAATACAGGGTGTCCCAAAAATAGCAGAGCACGACTACCCGAATCACACCCATGTATATTCCGCAATTTTTGATGGTTTTCGAGTCATAATTTTTTTAAAAGAAGTTTTAAAGAGAAAAAAAATCGTAATATAACTCGAAAACTATTAATTCTTCTTCTTGTCGTTTCAACAACAAATCTACAGTCGGCCCAAAACTGCGTTACAAGAGTGGCGTTGTCAGCAGCATTCATTAAATCCTCCTGCGGGCACTCAGGCCAACTATCAATTAATATCGCGGAACATACATGTGGGTGATTCGGGTAGCTGGTGATACTCTCTACCTCTGGGCTTCAGTTTGACATTATTTTTGGGAGTGACACATTTTTTTATTTCTCTCTCTTTCTCTTTTCTACTCACTCGTCAGCTTCCCCATCCACCGCGCTGCACTCGGTCTTGCTGCTCGACTTCATCTTGGCGACCTTGATCTTGGACTTGGCCTTCTTTTTGACGCTCTTGCCTTTCTTTCCCACGATGGCGGTCACCGAGCTCACGGGGAGCGCGGGGCTCACCGCTGGGCACGTGGGCGTGGGCGTGTCTTGGCGGGGCTGTGGGCAAGAGTTACTTTTGTTAAAAAAAAATATGCGTGACAAGGCAGGTATTTGACCGCTATTTGGGATGGATTTTCAAAACATGTGAATGGGAGATTGTTTATGGGAGTCACACTTATTTACTTAGAAACTATTTCACGATTAAAACATATTTACCAGACTGTGCCAGTAGGCCTAAGATGCGCGCCGTGTTAATTTTTATCGACGTCAAAATGTATGGGCAAAATAGATAAAATGGCGTGACAACCGCTTATCGCGGCGCGCATCTTAGGCCTACGGGAGGATTATGTTTTTGAAGATAGATTTTTGTACAAAGCAAACATACTTTTTTTTGCTTTTTTACTTTATAAATAAAGTAAACATTTTTAAGTCTTAGGGGAAATCCTCAAAGCCGATATACGGTTCCGTCTTTTGTCTTTACGAGACAAAAATGGAAAGATTTTATAGAATAGCTTTTTCGAAATTTTCTTTCCAAAGACCCATAATTTGGACTTCCACAGACAAGTAACTAAAACAGAAAACGTTCCAGCTGTCCTCAAATGATGCACTTTCCAACGAACAGCATTTCAATATTATTTATACATAAATTTGTTTACAGTTATTATTCAGTGCCTATTTTTGTTTCTTCATAGATATGAGTTAGCTCATCCGGTATGAGCTGTCTCATCAGTGTGACAAATGAACAACTTACTTTCACAATAATTAACAAACAAAAACGATTTTTATAAACAATATTAAATTTTTACATTAATTATTACACAGCAATATTTTTTAATATCTCCTAATTATGTAGGTATATTATTTAAGTTATCTTTTTGTATCATTAGTTCAATTAATTTAGTTGAAATATGAAGAATTGTAACGTAAGCACAATTACAGTAGAATAGCACACGTAAATCCACCAAAGCAAACTCGCCTTAGTGATTTATAAGATATCTGATAGATAGTTAAAGAGTTGTTTTTTATATGCATAACAAGGCAGGTATTTGACCACAATCGCACCTGATGTTAAGTGGGATGCAGTCTAGGATGGTACATATCTGCCCTGTAAGTGCCTATTCACTCTCGCCTTGAAAAGGCCCGGATTATAGTTTTCGGGAAAGACAGCAGCAGTTTAGTTTCTTTATCAAGCCAAAATAGTAATAAGTGTTTTTTTTATCATTTGGTGGCAAATCTTTCGTTATACTTTTTCTGTAGAGTGATCGTTCGATAGTTGGATCGAAAGTGCAATCAATCATACGTCAGCACCAAAGGTCAACTCTTGAACCGTGTGACTAAGATACAGACCGAAAGATGGCCTAGTATTTAATATCTGTCACCATTCGCGTTCTAATCTCATAGTTCTATGTATAGTCGAGATTATAATAAGTCGACCGCGCCGTATTACTTCGGGTAATCTATTCGGATTAGGTTATACGAACAACGGCACGTGGTGACGTGGCTCACAGATGCTTCTGCACCCGTAACCCTGGTATAAATGTGTATTTTCGTTGCATTTACTGAAACATTTATTCTATTCTAAATCTCCAGCGCCCACGCTCATTGAATAGCCGTGGACAAACTCCGAAAACAATACAGTTTGCTCCAAGTTGAGCTTTATTATCACCACATAAAGTATAGAAAGCTGACGTTTATAGCTGATAAACAGTTTCAAATTAATTATGTATTTGAAAACGGATGGCAGCAACGGACACTGAATAAATTGAAATTTATAAGTTTTCGTCTCGAAGAATAAAGGTAGTTTTCAAGCATGCCTAAAGTGAAGGGTCAGTGATTCTATGAAGCAAAGATCTTTGGACACTCAGCTCACATACCTACATTATTTTAAAAATAGTTGTGAGTACTCCAATCCCCGGTTTACCGTCTTACTGGAATTACTCCGCGAACAGATTTTGGCAGCTGTCGCTGCAAATTGTTCCTCACATTCTTGCTGTTTCTTTGCACCTCAGACACATGAACACTCGAGTGCTTTCAAATATAACCGCACAAAGATGTCAAGGCTATACCAACAGGGGTCAACTTTCCAACTGGAACACCTATTTATTGAACCGAACCGCGTTAATTATTCACTTGCTTTCGCGCAGAATTGGACCAGAACGTCTTGGTGCTTCTTGAAATATAATAGCAACAGATACTTTAATATGCACTAAAATCGATAGGAGATCGATGTCGGGCGGTAGAAACAGTGATAATGCATCGTATTGACATTTTGTACAGTTTGGCAAGGTGCCCGGAGCGTTGAATTGAAGACACAATAAAATCTAAGGAGCACCGAATTAAACAGACAATAAAACAAGGTTGGACGAGATGCGACCAGTAGCAGGCAGCCGACGCCGCCTACTTAGTTTCAGGTTCATCTCGGCTGAACGCGCGAAACCGAAAAGTAGGAACAGTTAATTAACTTGGATTGGATTGTCATTACCTCAATAGCAGGAAATCACAAGAACACTTTCTAAATATGTAGAAACAATTGATTTCTAGGAAATATTTTGCGCACTTTTCATCCCTAATCATGCCTCAAGATTGAGACGATGTCAGAAGATAACAGAAATAAGGAAACTTTTACCCATCGACAGATATTGAGTTTTCAGTGCCATTAAAGTTCGAATCTTTTTAGTATTTTAGACTCAGAACTTTGATACCCAGTAGAAGTGAACTAAAGAAGAACTAACTACTAAAGACACTAGACAAGGGGTTTTTAAATTGCAGACATAGAATCTTCCATGGAACGCATTTTTATACCAAGGTATACATACTGTTAAACATTATAAATCAACGGAAACGACAAATAATAGTGTACAAAACGATGCTCACACAAAAACTATCATAACATTATCAAGGCCTGCTCACAATATAAATACATAATTTATGAAAACTTACACATCGACAGATCTTCCACAGAACTCTTTTCAACTTGCGCATATTGAGCATAAACACTTCCGAATCACTCACTGGCACATTTCGCCACTCATTGCCACTTGCACAACTCTTTTGGTAGGGTCGCGTCATCGTAGACCAAACACACCGTCATACCATGAGTTTATACCATCAATCGTAAGTCTTAAAAATAACTCCAGTATTCCATAGCAGTCTGAATATACGCGACGCGGGTGTTCTACCGTCCAGCGCGCAGTATGAAGCTGTACAAACGAGCTATAAGCACATAAAAGGATTTGAACTTCTTTATCAGCTACAGTTCAATGCCAGATACTGGTCACTGGCATAATATAAGACACGCGACCAGAAATTTTAAATCCAATTGCCTAGGTGGCTTTGTAATTGAGATGCGACTTAACGCTAGAAAATTTTAATAACGCGACCAAGAATATCCAATGAAGACCGCGCCACACACTGAACGTCTCACTACACTGGTCTAAATTAAAAAAACCGTATGAACGAGTAATATTTTAATCGCCCTTAAATTTGATAAGCAGTGATTACAGTTGCGAAACTTGAATATTATTCGCGCTGTAGTCTACGCGTCTTCGTCGACTATCAGATTTTATCGACACCAACAATACGGATACGATGTACGCAATATTAGAAGCTACTGACTGATTAAAAACATACGAGGGCTCTTCTATCTCCTTATCTTAGGCAAATATTATAAAAAGGTACCCACAACCACATGTTTGCGAAAGGTAATCTTGGAACTATAGTATACTTGCATGTATATTAGTTAAGAAAATGCTTTTGTTCGTAATCTTTCGTTTTATAAAACATAAACATTGCAGATATAATAAAAAAACATTGAATGATATTAGGGCGCTTACACACTTTCGCGCCGAAATCAGCCACAAGCAGCCGCTATAAAATGCAACCGCAAGCATATTAACAAGCCGCTAAACGCAGCCACCAGATGCAATCCCTATTACGCAGTTAGCGACATAGCAACAATAGAGTATAAATTTTAACCAATAAGTGGGGCATGGACCAAAAAGGTGTTCCTCACCCTTCTGAATTAGAAAGTTACATAATGCTTTGTCTGGAAAAGATAGCTTCCTAGCGATAAGACCGCCTAAATGCAGTTTTGTTCAATATGAATATCTGTTTCATTTGTCAGTTTTGGGTTGTGCAATCTATGTACAAACTACCTTATCTTTTAGGGTTTTTGAATTTTAATTCGTTTTCGTATGTGGTAAACTTTATATTGGCAAAATATCAGAATTAATTTGACAAAATTACGACTGAAAAAAGTTCACTCACCATTTCAACTACAGGAGAATCTCCAACGGTGTCATTATTGATAGCTGTGGTCCTCAAAATGTGTATGTTGTGAACTTCATCCTTATTCGTCACTATGACCTGATCCTTGCAAGTGCATCGTTGACTTTTGGAATAGTTTGATGAGCTCTTGGTCGGTGTGTTGCTGAGTGAAGCAATTGCCGTACCGTACGAGTAGCCAGTGCCGGAGTTGTCTTTAGCTCTTTTCATACTGCTTGATAGATATGACAAACGACTGGAACAAAGTTTAATGTTATTAGCTTAAAAATGTTACAAGTGCATAATAATTTAGAAACAACAATAGCTTTTAATTTTATGTATTACATAGTAATTTAATAAAATAAATAAGACTTTGATCTTGTTTTTAATAGGATACATCTAACAATGTTCAGGGCGCATTTTGCGCCTTATCGGCTGATAATTTTTAAATAAACACAAGTCATAACAAAATCTGATCTAATCTGTTTAAAATTTTAAACAGAACTTGGATTTAAAAGAATATTATTCTGAAATTATTATTATCTCACATGACTCAAGCATGGTATAACCTTAAAGCTTACTTGTCATATCCAGGTATTGGTGATCCAATGTGGAAATTGCAGTAAAGATTGTCAGATTCACTCGCTGCCCTCTGCCTTCTACGGCCTTCGTTCAGCTTGCATTCCTGATACGACCTATTTTTGGGTTTCTTGAGTATGCTCTGTGGAGGTGACTTTGGTAGCGGGTTGTTGAGTATTGATTTCAGAGGTTGTTTGGCCACTTGTACTTCCATCATTTCTTGATCAACTTTTTCTAATAATTCTTCTACTTTTGGTAGCCTGTCGTCGACTTTAGTGTTTGATAATGTTGTAACGAGTAAAGGTCTAGTGGGGCTTGTTCTGTGGAATTTTGATCTTCCTGGCTGGTATCTACAGAATTAACATTAAAAAATATGAATTATATTATTTTTGTCAATTACTTATGTTTTTATTTTCATATTCAAAATAAACCCATAGCCAACACGATTTACATAATCAACACACATTTCATTCATATGATTGTAGTTCAAGAGACACATGGGAAATAGAATTCAAGTTCATTGCCAATTGCCATGTTATGAAATCAAAACAAACAAAGGACTCTAAAATAATTAAAAAAAAACCGTTTGAAGAGGAGTCTTGACAGATATTTCATAGCAAAACAATGTCGATAAGACTTGCTAAATTATCATAACAACCATATGGGAAATGAGGTTATATTTTGGTTCTACTGACCCATGGTGTCTGTGCGGTTCGTGAGCCATGATGTAGTCGCCGTTGACGGCCGCGGGCAGCGAGCACTCGTGCTGGAAGCGCTCGTACGGGGTCTCGGCGCTGTTCAGTGTGAAGTGGCTCTTGTTCGGCAACGCGCGGTAGCGAGGGTAACCGTCCGCCGAGCGGTGCGCCTCGCGACTAACATCCTCGTACGGACTCCGGTCCACGCCTTCGCTGCGGCACCTCCGCCGCAACACGCGGGCTGGCGCGCGACCCGACCCTGACCACTCCAACACTGACCCCAAAGGATCGCAAACGTCGAACCCGGCTTCGTAACTTGGGCACGCTCGCCTGCTATCCATATCCGACGCGCCTATTCGTGACGCATCTTCGAATGTCCACATCGATCGCACAACACCAATTTCACTATTGCACTGCTAATTTTACAGGTAAAAACCACTGAAACATGAACTCTAACGGCGTCGACGAGGCCAGAGGCGACAGATGACAGATGGCTTTACGACAGCCACACAACGTGCCAGGTCTCCCGCCAAAATTGAAAGAAAACTGGGTTCTTTTTATAAATAAATAGGCATCAAACCTACATCGAGAACTTAGGTCAACCTCGTATTCGGATAGTAGGAGTAATTTATCAAAACTCCAAAGAACACGATGAGGCAGGTTTAGGTATCTTGCTTGTAATGGCGATTGATAGGATCTCAATGAAAAATGTATTTTGATGTCCTAAAAGATTTTTAAAAGAATTATTCAACATCACTAATTCTGTTTACAACTGGTATTGTTATAATATTGTACAACAGAGAAAAGAAATACCACAAAATTAATAAAATACGTAAATCACTCGGTGGAGTATATTTTTACTTCCTACTTTTTACATTTTATGTTATGATATGACAATTTTCAAAAATGCTCTGCGAATTTGTTGTTTCTTTCTATCATCCTTGGGTGGATACACAAGTTAGAGCGAGAAAACAAATTAGTTCTATTTTTTTCCGCCGGCAACGTAACTTAGTAGAATTATAATACTAGCATTCATTGAAGATTTAATGGGGGCGTTTGGCGGAAAATAGCGCTAGCTACCGCTAGTAAATAAATGGCATCCTTTTAGCGGTAAGTGCGGTCAATGTCAAAAACATTTATGGGAAAACCGGTAAAAAACGTCATTTTTTAAATTTAGCAAACTTGTCCTCGCCAAAAACATACTTACTAAAGTTTCGGCGGTTGCCATTTTGCTAACAATTTCTAACAAGCGGTATTTTCCGCCAAACTCAGCTGTTGTAAAATATTACTACCACAGATAATTTTACTACCAACAGCACATGAGTAAAGAAACGGAACACTGTCCCTGTCTCATCTGTGCACTGAGCACTCGACCATTCTGGGGTGGGCTTTCTAAACCATTCTGAGATGAGCACTACACCATTCTGTCTGATGTGGGCACTAGACCATTCTAAGGTGGGCACTAGACCATTCTGAGGTAGGCTCTAGACCAGTGATGGCCAAGGTGGTTATCAAATTTCAGTTACGAACGTGGACTAAAGGAAGAGATCGACCGCGGAACGTGGTACTTATTTGCTGCTAAAATGTTTTATTTCACTCTTCTAAACTCTACCTTGCAGTCGACCGCAAGAAATATGTAGACCTCACAGGTCAAAAGTTTGGCCACCCCTGCTCTAGACCAGTATTTGAATTCGATATTTGAAATAGAAATAAAAAATGTGTAATGTGTATTTATGTATATATTTTGTATAAATATATATTATAATATTTTATGTATTATATTGTGTACATTTTTGTAGCTTTTTAGCACCGCCTACTAAATATCTCTGTTTTGCTCAAGGTCAGCTGGTAGAGAATGACGTATGGCATTAAGCTCGCCTTTTTGTACAGAACATTGTTGTGTGTGCAATAAAGTCTTTAAATAAATAAATAAATAAATAAATGTGTTGTGTTCTGTAGTTTTTAGCATACAAATTGAGTATGGGGTCCAAAAGGAAAAACTGTGGATTTATTCTGAAAAATAAAAATCTAAGGCTGAGTTGCACCATCTAATTTTAACTGTAACTATAACCACCGACGATAATCGCCCTTTTTTGTAGTCTGACAGATTTTTGACGTTTGTTAAAGTTAAAGTAAGATTGTGCAACCCAGCCTAAGTGATGGAATGTATTGTAAAATAAAACACAGTTTAGAGAATCAGTATTCTTTTTTACACATCAGTAACCTAGAACTTACAGACGTTATTATTCTTAAAATATAATACGAATCTGACTCTTTTACTAAGCTATATTATTTTTAATAAAAACTTCTATTTGTTGAGAATATTATAAACTGCTTCCCCGATTTATAAAATGAATAATGCTACTATAACAAAAAAGTGCGCCTTCCACTAAAAACCTGGAATTTCTTCGCTTACATTCTAGCCTATGTATTATTAACCCATTATAGACTAGCGGTCCCATATGGTACCACTTTTATGTGTGTTTTAATTTGGCTCTATACATTAACACGTGAAAAGATGCAGTGCTCTGATTGATGCAAATCGTAGCCAATAGATATGGTCTATGCTTCTAGGAATAAAAATTTACAGTTATTCTTTTCAGTTGTGTGTAATTAATGATTGAAGTGAGCGCATCAAAATTTTCTCTTAAAAATTGACGCGCCATTCAAGTAAGTGATCATATTTTTTTGTGTGATAGTGAAATACTGATTTTGTTACAATCTTGTATTCTCCATAAGTGCTCTTATTGTGAAATGGTGTAAAATTACGTCGATAAATAATAATAATGGGAAATATTGTATGTCAAAATTACTGGTACCGTACGGTACCGCTAGCCGCTTACCGTGTCTTTTTAATTATTTTATTATTTTTAGTTTTTACTGTATTTATTGGGAAGTATGTGATATATTCAATGGTATATAAGGTATGCAGGAAGATAAAGTAAAATAGTTTCCTATACTTTACAAAACCATGGGTTTTTATTTATTTTAGATGTAACTTATACGAAACATTGGCAGTTTTGGAGGACGATGAAGGTCCCAAAACGAAGCAGATATTTATAGAACGAACTTGAGATAATTGCAACTCTCGAACAATATTAGAGTATAGGAAATGTTACATGGAGCTAAGAGCAGTGTGCAATGCCAAGCTCCATTCCAAATTTTTGAATATTCAAAGATAAAAATGAATATTCCTTACCCAATATACAGTTTTTTACATTTAATATCACTTCTGTTATTTGCTTGTATATTAATACATATAATAATAATAATAAAATATATAATTAACCCTATTTTTATAAAGCCCATGATAAAGTTATGTTTTAACAGACTGACACGGTAAGAGGCTAGCGGTACCATATGGTACCAGCATTTTTTTTCTAGATTACAGGTCGGATCATTTTTTTAATGCTTGTATAGCATTATGTAGACCATAATTATGAACATATTTCAAAAAAACAAAAATCTGACACTTTAAGAAAACTCAGTCTATAATGGGTTAATATTTAAGTATTACACGAGTGTAATATTATACATTATAATCCTTTCGAGCTGGCACTGAGGAAAGTTATGTCACAAACATCCTTCAATGACAAAATATGTACTATGCATTATGAAAAATAAAAAATTCTATATGCGTGCAAGTCGCTTGGCGTATATACAATCTGATCGAAAATAATGTAGCAAACTGCTAATTTGAAACAATTTAAATAAATTCATTATATTTCTCTAAATATGCCGATAAAATTTGACATAGCATGATAAATTAGATAAAACATCAGTTTTCTTAAATGAAAGTACTAGAACCATATAAACTGTACATACATAAACGGTCCCGCACAGAAATCTTAGTCTAAAACATTGCAACATTATAAAAAAAGACATCTATTATAGACTATGTATTAAAATTAGGTAATGTTCGACCGTCCGTACGCAGACCGATATACAAAGTAGAAAAAATATACACTGTTACCATCTTTACAACAATAAGGTGACTGCGGTATGCGTTTACTGGTAAAGGACCGCAGGCCGGCGGGCGCTGCTGCCAGTAACTCAACTTCGGCGGAAAATATATTATTATTGTGATCTTGCGTCGAATTGTTGCGCTGTCTTCAATACCAAATGGCGGTCAAGTGGAATCTGAAAGGAAAATAGGGTGTCAGTATCTGCAAACACTTTATAATGACTCCCATCTCCGCTACGCAAAGCTCAGATCTCTCTGCTGCACATCATCTCTCCGCTTTGGAAGATCGCAAACTTACTGTTGGTATAATTTGTCACTTTTATTTCAACATAGTTGTGGTATAATTTTCCATGTATGCTCCCGCAAACGACTGACGCCTGGCTTATAATGTCAAAAGGTGCGTCTACACCGGGCGCATGACTCGGGAGTCACGTTTGACATCCTGCTCACTCAAGAGCAGGATGGATAAGGGATGACGTCGATGTCGAGCGTGCCTAGCGAGATATAAGTTATACTTTTAGCCGTTAGTAGGACGTCCACGCACAAGGTGGATCGACGACCTCATAAAGGTAGCAGCTACCAACAACAACCGGTCATGGTCATTATGGAAATCACTGGGGGAGGCCTATGATCAGCAGTTGACGTCCTGTGTAGTGTTGAAAATGACTTAAGCGGATGAATTTGACTGACCGTCATTTACGGTCAAATTGGTCAAAAACCGGTCCTATGGCTGAAATGAAAATGATGTAGGTACCTTAGCTGGTGAGCAGCGCGATGTTGATCTCCTTGACCATCTTGACGTGGTGCAGCATCTTGGCGAGCGCGGTGCAGCTAAAAGTAGCACACGTGTTGCGCAACCTCAATGTAACAGAGCCCTACACCAGCGTACTGACTCACCTTAGCTGGTGAGCAGCGCGATGTTGATCTCCTTGACCATCTTGACGTGGTGCAGCAGGTAGCACACGTGTTGCGCAACCTCAATGTAACAGAGCCCTACACCAGCGTACTGACTCACCTTAGCTGGTGAGCAGCGCGATGTTGATCTCCTTGACCATCTTGGCGAGTTCGGACAGCTGAGCGAGGCCTATGTTCAGCAGTGGACGTCTTATGGCTGAAATGATGATGAAGATGATGATATACCTTAGCTGGTGAGCAGCGCGATGTTGATCTCCTTGACCATCTTGACGCGGTACAGCATCTTGGCGAGCGCAGTGCGGCTGCAGGTAGCACACGTGTTGCGCAACCTCAATGTAACAGCGTCCTACACCAGCGTACTAACTCACCTTAGCTGGTGAGCAGCGCGATGTTGATCTCCTTGACCATCTTGGCGAGTTCGGACAGCTGAGCGAGGCCTATGTTCAGCAGTGACGTCCTATGGTTGAAATGATGATGATGATGATGATGATGATGATATACCTTAGCTGGTGAGCAGCGTGATGTTGATCTCCTTGACCATCTTGACGCGGTACAGTTACAGTTGCGCAACCTCACTGTAACAGAGTCCTACACCAGCTTAGGCGGTTATCACACTGCGCCGCGCTCCGCCGCGGAGCGCGTGATTTTCATAAAAAAAAACACGCGCGCGGACGCGTTGTCAGTGTGAAGTGCCGCTCGTGTTTTCTATACAAGCTGAGGTACTTGTATACAATGATTAAATCTGTCGCCCCGCGCTCCGTGGCGGAGCGCGGCGCAGTGTGATAACCGCCTTACTGATATACCTTAGCTGGTGAGCAGCGCGATGTTGATCTTCTTGACCATCTTGACGCGGTACAGCATATTGCGAACGCGGGCGGCTGCAGGTAGCACACGTGTTGCGCAACCTCAATGTAACAGAGCCCTACACCAGCGTACTGACTCACCTTAGCTGGTGAGCAGCGCGATGTTAATCTCCTTGACCATCTTGGCGAGTTCGGACAGCTGAGCGAGGCCTATGTTCAGCAGTGGACGTCTTATGGCTGAAATGATGATGATGATGATGATATACCTTAGCTGGTGAGCAGCGTGATGTTGATCTCCTTGACCATCTTGACGCGGTACAGTTACAGTTGCGCAACCTCAATGTAACAGAGTCCTACACCAGCTTAGGCGGTTATCACACTGCGCCGCGCTCCGCCGCGGAGCGCGGACGCGTTGTCAGTGTGAAGTGCCGCGCGTGTTTTCTATACAAGCTGAGGTACTTGTATACAATGATTAAATCTGTCGCCCCGCGCTTCGCGGCGGAGCGCGGCGCAGTGTGATAACCGCCTTACTGATATACCTTAGCTGGTGAGCAGCGCGATGTTGATCTCCTTGACCATCTTGACGCGGTACAGCATATTGCGAACGCGGGCGGCTGCAGGTAGCACACGTGTTGCGCAACCTCTATGTAACAGAGCCCTACACCAGCGTACTGACTCACCTTAGCTGGTGAGCAGCGCGATGTTGATCTCCTTGACCATCTTGACGTGGTGCAGCAGGTAGCACACGTGTTGCGCAACCTCTATATAACAGAGCCCGTTCGGACAGCTGAGCGAGGCCTATGTTCAGCAGTGGACGTCTTATGGCTGAAATGATGATGAAGATGATGATATACCTTAGCTGGTGAGCAGCGCGATGTTGATCTCCTTGACCATCTTGACGCGGTGCAGCATCTTGGCGAGCGCGGTGCGGCTGAGCGGCTGCGTGGAGTACCACACGGGCGAGTCGGGCACGCACGAGCGCTCCGGTTGTAGGTAGAACACGTCGTTGCGCGTGCGCACTGACTCTGGACTGTTAAAAAAATACATGTTTAAAATACAGGTTCACTAGCGTGAGGATTGTGCGACATTTGTGCTGCTGATAAATAATTTCGTACGGCAGAAGCGGGCGCTAAATTTTGTTTTTATGTAAGACAAGGCAGGTATTTGACCGCAATCGCTGATGTTAAGTGAGATTCAGTCTAGGATGCCCTGTAAGTGCCTATTTAGTCTCGCCTTGAAAAGGCCCGGATTATAGTGTTCGGGACAGCAGCAGGCAGCGAATTCCATTTAGTCGGCGCCGAGCGTGAGTGTTGCAAACGCACTTGATTGTAGACATCGCAATGAACGCGTTCGATACCGAACCAGACAAAGATATTGAAATCCAATCGCGTCCTGCATCGTGGAAAATCTGTATTACACATTGTGTGCGCTAGATGGCGTCATCTGGCCACAATGATTACACCAAACAAAAGAGAAACGGACGTGGTTTACATACCATTTTGAAATGTAAAATTCATATAATTTAACTGGACATCTTAGGGGATTCTCTTCATTTTCTTGCTGCTCATAAACTTTCTTTTTTCTTGAGTTTGCTTCTGCAAATAAAACATAACAAGTCAGTCAGAATGAGCACATACAAGTCACCAAACCCATACAAAAAAATAAAAATATTTTAAGATATGCATAAAAAGATCCAAATCCATTGATGACGAATATGACAGCTTGCAGCGTTGCCATTTCTTTTTGGATTTTGATAGATAAATTCGTCGATGTTTTATTGGTTTCTACAAGAACTACTCAAGGTCAAGTCCTCTGACCGAGTTTGACAAAATAATACATTTTGGACTATACACCTTTTTGATAGGGTATACTTTAAAATATACGTACCTAGCGCCGACTGCGGCGGGTAGAACCTTAACAGTACATTTCTAGAGCCGGGCACCTTCGTCTGGCCCGGCTGGTTGGGGTTCCTCTTCCAATGCTTCATTATGTGCGAGAAGGATAGCTGCATGTGTTCTTCTACTGTCTGTTGAAAGAGAAACAGTTTAGTGGCTACGTCTAAAAGATTGGCGAGACATTGATAGTTGAGCAATTGGGGTGGCAACTTTGTTACTTGATTCACTAAATTAATTTAATACTATTGAATTTGAATCTGATCGTGAATATCCACCAAATTAAATGTTTGTTTGTCTTAACATTTTTGGTAACCCAGAAAAAAAGTGGTTTAGTTCAAAAAGTAACATACAACCGAATCGCCACCCGTGAGTTCTAAATTGGATGAGCAATAGGCTATTTGATAACAATTATGTATGGATTACTGTCCGAATAGGTTAGAAAAAATGATACGAAATCTGCCAGTAGCGACATGCTATCGATTCTCATGAACGAGTATGATGGCATATTGATCTTTCCTACTAAACATAGAATTTATTCACTTGTTTTCAATAACCAATTTATAAATTCCCTCATTTACTTTATAAGTACCTTTTAATGGGGTTTACAAACACCCCTCACAATCAAAGTTTTTAGAAATCTGTCAAATAACCTATTACAGGGTTGTAGCTGCCTCAGCGATGGGGAATTTAACCTTGGAACCTTGGGTCAATGCTGTTTGGGCCTACAGAGCTCTCAGTCCTGACTCATCACTTTATGGGACTCAATACAAAAGCGGAGTGCACTTATTAAAGCAAGCATATACATACTATTTGAGTCCCAGTGTTGCCTGCCAGGCGGAATGGATACTGCCAATCGAAGCAAATATAAAACTGAACTGATTATTGGGAAATTGTTTCAAGTCTCAAAATATCGGTCGATATTTACCACTAAATTCTGTTTTTTTTAGAAGTATATTAGGGCTGTCAAAGAGTGGTTAATAGATATTGATGGACCTCTGATACATATAAGGGTGTTTCTCTGCTATTTGGAAAATCGTCCATACAAGACTGTCCCGAACAAATTTTATTAAATGTTGAGAAATTTTGTGAACGAAATTCAGGGCAATAGTAATTTAAATACATATCTAAAAAAAGCCCACACATTTTCCCCTTAGTTTTTTAGTTATTGGCGATTTTTCGCAAAATTGCGACAGGGGACTGTTGCAACCACCCAGGGGAATGTATTATGGACAAAAACAATTAATATTTTTCTTTGAGTAAACAAACTCTTTATTTTTCTTTGCCATTATAAAAATATGCAAGTTTTTGTAACAAAAAATATTATTATTAAAACAAATATTACTAATTTATAATGACTTTTCTTAAGCCTAATAACAGTAGCATTAAACTTAACGAACAATTAAGTTTTAAGACTTAAATTGTATGACACTAAAGTCAGTCTTTATAATAATCAAAAATGTAGTATCCTGCCTTTTAAAACAGAACCAAAAAAATACAAAAAGTAATAAACAAAAAACATTATTACTGCTAATTTTTGTTTTTTGACCCCGTTTCTGGTGAACGTAATATTGAAACGCTATTCTTGTAATTTCGTGTTGGGTCAGATGATCTTAAAGGCGCCTGATGATCTTCTGCGAAATCTTCTGAATCATCATCATCATCCTTCCGAAATTATTTGTTCATTATCATCATCATCATTTCAGCCATAGGACGTCCACTGCTGAACATAGGCTTCCCTCAAAGACTTCCATGTTGATCGATTCGTAGCGGCCTGCGTCCAGCGCCTTCCTACTACCTTTATAATGTCGTCGGTCCACCTTGTGTACCGTAAAACGCAGCGTGCGTGGTTCACCAGATGACGCAGTAGTAGCATTAAACAAAATAGCGGCTGCCCACTAGCTACACAACTGAACAACCTTAACACCTATTGCGTTCCGTTTCGCGATCTAAGTGCTTTGCGCCAAAACTAAATATGACTTTAAACCGGTTTTAAAATTTTAACAGGGGAATGTTTTAATAATTTGAGGACAGCATTCTCAGAAGGATATTTTGATTAAAATTATATTGTAAACATTGTTTGTGATGTATTAAGATGCTAACTGTTATTGTTAATGTATTTGGATATTTTTTATTCAAATATCAACAGCAATATAATAAACATTTGTAACAATATGTGTAATTCTGGAAAAGGGACGTACCAGGGGACTGTGATTTGAGACGTTTGAGGTTATTTATTCGAATATTCCATGATTAAATTACTAAATATGCTATGTCATGCTAAGAATACCTAATTCTATGTCGGTATTGATACAAAAACCTGAGAAATTTTAAGGTTTACTACATAAATTTAGCTTGGGACAGCGATTTTCCATTTAGTGGAGAAATGCCCATAAAATAACTGGTTAAAGATATGCGCTATAAACTCATTTTCGTTCTGCAAAACAAGCAGAAGGATATTACCTATCTAGGTGGATAATATTAATGATTTGTCAGGGGTTTCAATTTTATAGACCACCAACGTGATGCAATAAATAGTTACGATCGATTAATTGATTTAAAGCTTAATTTAGACTTGATGCACAGCCTATAATAGAATGACACGGACGATCGGGGTAGGGGCTCATGACTCACCACTAAGTTAAAGTGTTTCGTGTTGAAGAACATTAGCGTCGATAGCAGCACGTGCGGCGAATGCGCTCCTAATTGCTTGCTTTCCCATAAGTGCTCCTCTTCTACTCGCGTGACTATGTATTCTGTAAAACACATGGCACAATCGTTTATAAAAAACTCTATAAACATAATGACTAGATTTACTAAATTATTTACTTTGAACTTCAGTCTTTAAATGCCGAGAAATTAGATACAATAGAAAATCTATCGTTTGGGGCTCACCAGTGATCCCCACGGCGTTTAAGTGTTTATTTATTATTAGAAACCAACAGCGATACATAGAAAATATTAGTTTTAAGATTTGAGACTGATAGATAGCCAATAACAGGTTTCCCTCATTACAAAGTGTCAAGGAAGTTTTAATTTTACCATCGCTGTTGTATATTGTGTGTTCTAAAAGGTCTATGTCTGTATTAAAAAACAACTGTGAAGATAGATAATGAAAATGTATGATACAAATACTTACGTGAATCGTTATATAAAACTGAGAACTTTCTTGCTACTTCGTCCAAACAATCCGTAAACTTTTCGTAATATGGATCCGTAAATATGTTGTCTATCCTACCATTTTCAAAGAGATATTGTTGAATTCCTGTAAGAAAAATAATCACGTCAGAATAAAATTGGTACCTGCTTGAGTTATAATAGAACTAGATTTGCCCAGCTTCCTCGCAAAAAGCGGGCGTTAGGCTGGCTTTAGAATCGCACTGACCGCTCGCTGATCGTCGGCGCTGACAAATCAAAATGTATGTAATTAAAGGGAACGTTCCTGAGTGACGCTGATCGCTCGGTGCCGGCGCTTCATACATTTCGGCTGTCAGCACTGACGGTCAGCGTGGGTCAGCGTCAGCGTGATTCTAAAACCAGCCTAATAAATTAGTTCGATGCGTTTATCTGTTCTGCCATAGCTCTAACCGGTGAATTGATTTGGATTCAGTTTTTTGAAAGCAAGTATTTATATTCTTTAGGAAACTCACCTAATACCAAGTAATAAATAGTGTCGGGCGCGTACTCGCTTCCGTTAGGCTTGCGCACCTCCTTGACAAACAGGCAGAGCGAGTAATTTAACTCGTCTGCCGTGAGCTGAAGGATCTCCGATTTGAAAGGTTTCCGTCGAATCGAGCTCTTTTCTATTTCAGCGTTTTTAGTCATCACCCACTGCTTCCACGCGTTGACGCCGAATGTGTACTGTGGGAGATGATTTGTGAATAAGTTACTGTTTGCGTGTTGTTGGATTAATTTAGATTTGGTATGCTCAAGATATTTTGATCGAATGAAGAGCGGATAAGGCCGCCGATCAAAGCCAGTGTGACATAAACGTGCATAAGGCATAACTAAGCAGTAGTGGGCAGGTTCCTACGGTAGCTGTATAGCTATCTCGATACACGATACACGATACTCGATACACCATACGGTGTAATTTCTCTAATGAGGGCTATCGTGTGGCGAAGATAGTGGCGCCAACTGGTAAGCGCTGAAGCGGTAAGAGGACTATCGCATTTTCAGTCACCATGATGGCGCCACTGTAGAGTAGGGTCATATCAATCGCCAGTGGTGCCAACTGTTAAGTGTAGTGGTATAAAAACGATAGCCCTCATTTGGAAGTAGGGTTTCTGCTCGAGCTTTCTCGAACTCGAGAAAACTCGAGAAATTTGGCTTCATTCGAGACGAGAAAAAAATTACCGGAGCTCGAGAATTCTCGAGTTTCGATTTTGAAGCTTTAATATTCTTGAAAGCCTATTTTCTTAGACAAAAGTAAGTTTTTAATTATTTAATAGGTTAACGTTGCGTTTAGACTGGCCTAGTCTTTGCTTTTTTTAACTAATTTGATTTGCAAGTAATGATCTTAACCGAAACTAATAATGTTCACCTACGAGTATGCTATATTTTATTATGTTTGTATAACTGACTGATTTAAAGACTGAAAATGTTTTGTTAACTATCTGTTAGTTTAGGTACTCGTAAATACGTTTATTCAAGTCGTTATCTTTAAGTTTAAAAATGTATTAAAAAGTTTTTTTTTTGTTTGTAAATGTAGGTTTATTATCGTAATTTTTCAATTAATTTGGACTTGTGTTCTTTGGAAAATAAGTGATTCAATTGGAGCTCCAGATATTTATGGTTATTAATCCTTAAAGTACACGCGACTTTATGACTTTTGTTCCTTTAGTTAATTACTAAGTTATAATTATCCTACTAATATTATAAATGCGAAAGTTTGTGTGGATGTCTGGATATTTGTTACTCTTTCACGCAAAAACTACTGAACGGATTTTGTTGAAACTTTACAGTTTTATTGATTATAACCCAGACACATTATAACATTAATAAAAACCAGTGTTTTTATTAAATTTCAACCGATTTCAACAGTTTTAATTAAAAGACTCGAGACCCGAGAAAACTCGAGACTTTGGCCTCGAGAATTCCCGAAACTCGAGAAAAAAAATAAGTCGAGAAATCAGAAACCCTATTTGGAAGACTCGCTCGGGACATCTCTCCGCCTTCTAAGGGCGTTATGCCACAATGCGTGGAATTACTTCTGCCTTGGAAAGGATGATGAACTCCACTGCGCCACACTTAGCTCCCTAAGAATTCATTACTCAGCTTTCTGACTCCCCTGGGTCACACACATCGCGATAACTCTCGATGTGTATAAACAAGACGTATTCGCGTATACTTCGGTTTTTTGTAGTCACAAGACTTCGCTCCGCTTATGTCCAAATGTTATTTTTAAGACGTATTCGCGTATACTTCGGTTTTTTGTAGTCACAAGACTTCGCTCCGCTTAAGTCCAAATGTTTTTTTTTTATGTCCAGAAGCAAACGAGCAGACGGATCACCTGATGGTAAGTGATTACCGTCGTCCATAGACACCCGCAGTCCCAGGGGCGTTACAGGTGCGTTGCCGGCCTTTAAGGTGAAGATACGCTCTCTTCTTGAAAGCTTGCAGGTCCGTCGGTATCCGTCCGGAAACACCGCAGACGACAGTTCATTTCGCAGTTTGGTTGTACGCGGCAGGAAGTTTCTAGGGAAAAGTACTGTTGTGGACTGCCAACAATGTTATCGCGATTTGTTACCCAGGGGTCAGAACAGTGAAGACACTTGCCTTGAGACACATATTAGCGTCGGGCTTCTCCGATAATTCCGACAAGTTTAACCGCCTTATTTATTTATTTATTTATTTATTGTTGAAGATTTACCAACAACATATCAATTTACATGCATCGTTACATTATTAGCTAGAATCCAAAAGATATGCCTTTACAGGTAAATACAGCATTCAAAGAAAATAAGCTTGCCGACAGAAAAAAAAGAACAGATTTTAACCAATTAATCTAGGTAGTTACACATAAAGAAAAAAAAAAAACAATTCCTAACAAAACAATCCAAATAGTTAAATTAATAATAACTCAGCCTTTTTGGTGATTCGAAAACGAGAGCGACACGACGGCAGAATCCAAATTTTGCAACTAACTTTATTTGACAGTTCAACCGAATGTTGCTATACAAAAAATATTAAATAATGCTACGACTATGGTTTCACATTTATGTCAAAAGTGAACATTGGTATTGAGGTGACACTGACCTTGAGACACATATTAGCGTCGGGCTTCTCAGCGGGCTCGCGCGGCGGGTCAGGCGGCGGCGGCGCGGGCTCGGCGCGGCGGCGCTTGGACGAGCGCGCGGGCCGCGCGGGCGCGGGCGGCGGCGGCCTCTTGCGAGCGGCGCCCGCGCAGCCCGAGCGGAGCGCCGCTACCGCGCGTTGCTGCTCTAGTACCATCATGTGGTGGTGGTGCATGCTCTCGCCTTCCAGACCTGTGGTTAAAATCATACTTAATCACACACACACATACTTAGACACAAAAACTAAAAGCTAATGCCTGTAGCATTTTAGAACTGTTAGGTAACACATGATATAGTCTGGTCCGTGAGCACGTAGAATTTTGTCCAATGACCCCAAGCTACCCATCCTTATTGCTCGCGCGTAATTATGTTGCTATCGCGCTCGCACACTCACTGCGGGCGCCCGTCGCACGGTCGCGACAGCAATATAATTACGCGCGAGCGATAAGGATGGGTAGCTAGGGGTCATTGGACAAAATTCTACGTGCTCACGGACCGGGCTTTAATATGTAACAGCACTTACCAGGCATGCCGGGATGCGAGCTGGGCGTGATGGTGTTGGCCGTCATGGCGGACTCCAGGTCGACGGGCTGCTCCTCGTACTCGGTGGCCATCTTCAGGGCCATCTGCAGCATGTCCTCGCCGAACGCGTTGTTGCCGTCCATGCCCGCTACTGGGCTGAAGGTTTCCTCGGCTGCGGGGAAAATTATACATGAATACATGTAAACACTAATCAATCGACATAAGATGGATTTACAACGAACGATACACCGTAAAAAACTCAGTAAGACTCATTTATTTCAGTAAGTAGGCTTTAAAAAAGCACTTTTACACGTCCCAGTATTAACCCTACCACTGCTTCAGGACAATAAATGGGCCAGTGCTGAGAAGAAGCAGCGCAAGAAACTCAGACACTATTGTCAGCGTGCTTTGATCGCCCAAGGCAGTCAACTGGACGATCCAATTTTGATCTTTTGCGTGTGATGGTAGCACGGTGGACCGGCTGGTGTTAACCCAGCTATTACAAAAATAAGACCCGGTATTTTCAGGGCTAGAAGTATGTAATTCCCTAAGAAAAATTATGTTTGAAATTATTATTTAACGGCGTCAACTACCCACCCGATAATGAATACGAAAACACGTTTTTTATCCTTGTCAAACTCAAACTAATTTAAAGTTTTGCTTTCACTTCAACGTTTTTAGTAGCTGTCGTACAGCTAGGCGATGGACGGTGTGGTTAGTTGAGGTTAGAGGCTAGACCTAAATATATCAAATATTATAGTTTCTGCAATACAAGAAAAAGTTACTTTTAGTGGCAGAACCTTCTGAAAATTAAGACAAGGGACTTACCGTTATCGTCGTCCGTGTCCGAATCACTTTGATCCTTCTTCTTGTCTCCAGCCACCATCTCAGCCATCATCAGCAGCTCAGCCTCGAACGGATCCGTCGGCATCTTATCGTGGATCTTGTTGATCTCCTTCATGATGCCTTTAGCGGAGTTCCGCGTGGTCGGAATAAACACCGGCGTTGGAATTGGAATGGGGATCGGAACGGGAACGGGGAACGGAAGCGACCACATCGCGCAAGGCACGGGGACGTATATAGGAACTGGCACCGGGATCAGAACTCGCCGTTCTAGGCTGGGGTCCGTTTGACACTCTTTTGTGCACGGATGCGGCCGGCAGGAGATGCCTTTGGATACCATCATCGGTTTCGACATGGTTCCTTTGTTCGCCACTTCTTTAGGGGGGAGCGTTTTGACGATGACGTGGTTGTAGACTTTGGGGGGTGGAGGTGGCGGGGGGGTTGGGGGTTTGGGAGGGGGAGGCGGGGTTTTGGGGGCAGCGGGGGGCTCCGGTTCGGGCGGGGGCTGGGCCACGGCGAGGCGCTTGGACTTGCCGCGGGTAACGGAGGGCATTAGAGGCGGCGGCGCGGCGAGAGATTGGACATTTGAGATCACTGGCATACCGCCACTTGCTCGCTGTTGACCTTTTGTTGCTAGGGGAGGAAACAAATTGCATATTTAGTAAAGATTCGTTAGATTCACAATACTGAATTAAAAACACCTTGTTATTTGACAGAAGTGTATGCGACAGTTATATGTATAAAACAATCTACAGAAATCTTCTCTCCAGTAGATTCTTAACAAACGACGGATAGGCATGATGGATGTTTTTACGATTACAGTTCCTGACAAATCTAGTAATATTAAATCCACTTTTTGAACTATAACAAATACACGTTTTGACGTAGTGGTAAAAAATCAAAATACGTTAGATATGGTCAAACAGGTGGTCAAATGATCACTGTAAATGTGAGCTATAAAGTACACTCACCATTAGTCTTATTGTTAGCGGGAGCGGTGTAGGTGCGGCGCGGGACTCCCGTAGGCACCGCCTTTTGCTGGTCGATGGATTCGCCGGGCATCAACGGCGGCGTGTGCTTTGAGTATTGACCCTGAAAGATGGTAACAAACTATAGTAATTAATAAGTACTACCATATAGCACTTATGTATCTTCTTACGAACTCTCTTAGTAACATAATATGTTATGGTCCATTGTGTATACAGAGGGATAACGAAACTATGGAACAGATAGCTTCAACTATTGGAACGCTGCCACGAAATTCCGATCGACCAGCAGATCAAGCGCCGCAAGTGGAACTGGATTGGCCACACTCTCCGAAGGGACCCCGATCACATCCCCAAGCAGGCTCTGGATTGGAACCCCCAAGGAAAACGCAAACGTGGTCGCCCCAAGCAAACTTGGCGGCGCACTGTGGCAGACGAGGCGAAGAAGATCGGCAAGACTTGGAGTGAGATCAAACACATAGCTCAAGACCGAACGCGATGGAGGACTGTTGTGGACGCCCTCTGCCCCATCTAGGGGACATAGGACCATAAGTCAAGTAAGTCAAATGGAGGATTTGGTACGCTCCCCACGCTGGTCATATGGGTTTGGGATACATTTAAACAGTCAAGCCTGGTAACAAAGTGCAAACTAATTCGCAGCTGTGCTAGCAGCATACACATCAACTGGAATAGGTGGCCAGAAGATTTTAAAATTACAAGAAGAAATAATCAAATGTTGGCCTTTGACTGAGATAGCTTGAGTTTACGATCTTTGCCCATCAGTGGGTCACACAGTATAAGTATAAAAAATATAGTTTAAAAATACCTGGAAGCCCATGACACACTGGTACGTGCAGAAATTCCGCACCGTCGCGTCCGACATCGTCAAGTGGTATTGCGCGAGAGCAGTCCGCTTGCACATGTCGCACTTAGTTCTGAAAATAAAGGTTTTTATTCATTGACCGTCTTTTCAATCGCCAATCAATGACAAGTTTCTAAAACCATCATAGGTCTGACACAATGGTCTATGTCTATTCCACATTGATCACCTGGATTTGATCACATAGTTCTTATCCATGAGTTATCAAAGGACACCAAAGTGTCGCCTGGAGTCCATTTTGATCACTTGGGTAATCATATCCAGGTGATCAAAGTGGAATAGACTGACATAATATTTTACAAATGCAGTTCAAAAGACACTAAGAAATACAGAAATCATAATTTTCCATAAGGTGTAAGCTTAGGCCAGGACAAGATAAAAAAACTTCAGAAAATCGATGTTAGTCTTACCTTTTCGAGGAGACTGCATTGACGGAAACCTGATACAGGTTGAGACAATTCAGCGAGCACATCATCACAGGCTGCGCATTGGCCTGTTGTTTCCTGATCATGTCGAAGTTGTATTTCTTTACTTTACACCAGTTGCATGGGACTATGTGCCTGGAGTTGCTGATGTAGACGTTCATACAAGACTTGGAGCAGAAACAGTTGGGAGTGTTGTTGTCGTATATCGTGAAACATTTGTTGGCTTTGCGCTCGAAGTACTTTTTGCACCATCTGCATTGATCTGAAATGGTAACATAGGTTTAATCCTTCTTGTATCATCTAGGTCAAATAACTAGTGTCCCAACTTCATCATGCCCTCAGCATGTGACTACAAAATTTATTTTACTAAGTGTATAAAATTGCATTGTGCATATGTTACTAGTGCAACGAACCCGGAACTTTCGTCGAGATAGTCTCAACTCTATTTACCTTAGAAGAGGTAACTATTATCAGGTTCCATGACTGGCAAAATAATAATAAACGGTATAACTATAAACTTCAGAATGAACAATGAAATGATTCTTACCTGGGAATATATTATTGACGAATTTAAAAGCTGCAAAACATGGATCGGAACATAACCGCTGATTGACTTGCTCACTCACTTCCACCTCGATCGACGTCGCCTTCTCTATCGAACAGACCGCGCACTTCGCCCAAATCGGCTGCGGAATCGGATTTTTGCTCATCTGATCAAACTTCTCCATACAAGTCTGCGAGCAAAAGTCTTTGAACTGTCCCTTGTCGCCCACCGGCGCCAAGAACCCTTGCAGACCCGCCGAAATATCCCTCTGGCAGTAGCAGCATATCTTCAACCCTTTCTTGAACTCTTCCAAACAGCCCGAGTTACAAAACTGCCGTATATCGTATCCGAACCTAACACAGTACTTCCCTAAACTTGTATGCTGAACCGGGTTTTTGCAGTTAGCGCATCTAGACCCAATTTTATTCTGGTACTGGCCAAGGCAAACTTCGTCGCAGAAATCCATGGTCTCCCACGTCAAGAGTTTCTCTTCGCTGGTGAGCAGCATGACACATTGAGTGCACTTTCGCGTGAAGCTGCGTTCTCTCTCGTCGCGCGCGGCTTGCACCATCGCCGGGGTTTTCGCTTGAATTTTATATGCTTCATCCAAATATTTATCTGTTGCGTTACTTATAACTTTCAATTTGAGCAGTGGCGGGTTAGTTGGCGCTGCCGGGGTTGCTCTCCTGCAACTCCTCTTCCTCTTTATCACGTACCTTCCGCTTTCGCTCAAATTGAGTTGTTTTATGCAGCCATGATCACATATTAAACTAAACTCTCCATACCTCGTCATGCAATAATTACAATTCTTTGTTTCCTTACAAACTAAGCACTCTCCCTCCTTGGGCGCAGTTTCTTCCACGATGATCTTTCTCCTTTTGAAAATATACTTATCCTTCTCATCTGCCATCATGCCGTGTAAGCACTGTAGAGAACAGTAATTCGTGTCTTCTCCATCAAAATTATAGTAGAAATAACAAGTTTTCTTTTCTTCACACTCGGAACATGTCAAGAATCTTGGTAATATTTCTTCGATGAGATATTTTTTAGTCGTCACAGTGTATTGAAGTGGGTTATTTTCCACGAATTTGCTAGTACAGGTTGCAGTGCACAAGTATCTGTAATCCCCATCTTTAGTTGTAAACCGAAAATAGCAATTGAGGTCCAAGTAACACTGCTCACATTTGCTTGGATATGGATTCACTTCTTGAATCACATTTGTTGTTACAGCCACTTCTGTTTCGACTATTTCCTCATGCTCGTTTTCAATTTCATTTTCATTATCTTTGTCTGAAAAAATTAAATCATGTATAAAATGATTAGATAGATCATGTTGTATAAATGCTATGCTAAAAGAGTGCTGTAAAAGATCCATCACAATATTCGTGTTGTGTCCGCTTACGAAAACAGCTACGACGCGTTGTTGTGGCAGTGAAGGCCAATGACAAGTCGCGCGACCCATGACAGTACCCGCGACCTGTCATTGGCCTATGATCGCGCCTGCAATAGCGATCTGTGGGTCTAGACAAAGTGCAAATTATAATCGCAAACTGGTCGAAAAGTGGTCGAAAAGCCCCTTTTTTGTATGGAGTTTTGACGGATTCGATTTTCGATTCGATCAAAAAGTGCGTTTTGTCTAGGGGGGCTGCACGCGTTGGTGTGGTTGAAGCTTGAAGAAAAGCAATGATGTGTTCTGAATTTGAACACTGGTGCAACCATATTACTGGTACTGTGATTGTAACTTGACTGCAAGATTTTCTTACCAGCGCCATTTTCCTGGGAAGGATCCTCGGTGGCGGTGGATGCGTCTTCCGTGTGGCTCTCGTTGACGCCGTCTTCTTTGCTCGCCGAGTCTCCATCCATCGCTTCATTCTCCTCTTTGGGGACGGTCGCTTCTACTGCTAAAGCGGCGGCTAAAAAGAAACATATCTATTACTTGAAAATATTGGGTATCTTTTGAAATCCTCACTAAAATTATTTTGCCTACAAAAAAAAGGAAACATAAATACGCATTCACACTGAGATCCGTTTTACAAGTCCGTATGAACGAGCCCACACACCTGACCTGACTGTATTGCCGATTCAGTAAATTACAGTCATGTATAAAGGTTGTTGTGTGCACACTAAGTTGTAGTAGCTATAGTCTGGTCTGCGAGCACGTAGAATTTTGTCCAATGACCCCAAGCTACCCATCCTTATCGCTCGCGCGTAATTATGTTGCTGTCGCGCTCGCATACTCACTGCGGGCACCCGTCGCACAGTTGCGCGCGTACGCGCGAGCGATAAGGACGGGTAGCTGGTGGTCATCATTGGACAAAATTCTACGTGCTCGCAGACCAGGCTTTAAGTTATTTAAAAAATACTGGTTGGGCTAAAAACAAAACAGTGATACAGCAGTAACTTTACATACAAACTTCATTGGGCATTCGTACCTTCTTCAGCCTGTTTACGTTTCTCAGCCAGTACTTTCTCGGCTTCAGCCTTATCAGCCTCAGAGATCTCCCGCTCAGTGTCCGGCAGCAGGCACACCTCTTCATCTGCTCCGGGCTCATCGATCAGCTCCGGTTGCTCTTCTAAAACAATACAACAGTCAAGCTGGTAGCAGGTAAATCAAAAATAACCTGGAAGCAAATCCAAGAAATTGAAATCTGTGGATTTTTTAAATAGGTTTCACATAAATAATATAAGTTGTGAGAGATTGGCATGTATTACAAGCACTTTCTCTTTCTTGATTTAGCACATAGTGGATACAAAACTAAAAAAATAATTCCCTACTACTGAGGTTCCGTAGACAAATGGCTAAAAACGAAACCCTTAAGGATTTTTATTACTATGTGTAATGATTATTTTATACTGGATGAATCAATTCATTCTATAAAAAATATTTTATATATATTTTTATTTTTAAGTTAATAACATGATATTGAACTGAACAGGTTAATAATTAAAATAAGTCCCTGTTAAAATACCTGTGTTTGTAGTGTCTTCATCCTCCACTTCACCGTCAACTTGGTCTGTGTTATGATCATCATCATCATCGTCAATTGCGTTAATTGTCTCTGCTTGTGACGTTGTTGGTGTTGCTGTGTCCGATACGGATGCATCGGTTTTGTCTTTCAATAGAGCGTCAAATGGATCTAGGGCCTGGAAGAAGGTAATCACATTATTGCTAAAATTTTTAAATGTTATTTCTTTAAAAATATTCAGCTTTCAGCTTCATGTTACATAGTTCAATTTGTGTTTTACTTACTTTAGGTAAGAGAAAGGGATAATCACACTATACATAGATTAATGGCTGTGTTACATTTATCATTCAAAAACTTTAGCTTAACACATTAAAGTTTAATAGAAAATAAATATGTTGTGTATAAATCAAGATATAATTCAAGTTCTGCACTATGTGTACTGAATAATATTTAAAATCTAATTTTCTACCTGTGAATGATCCTCCTGCGGTTCATCCATTGAAATATTAGGAGCAGTTTCGAACTCCGGCTTCCCAACTTCATCGTCTCTCTTTTCTTCCTTCTCCGTTTCTTCATCACCACCGTCTGCTTTCTCAGCTTGTTCTTGTGTGTCTACACTCTCCGAGTCTTGACTTGCATCCTGACTATTATCTTCATCTTTTAATTTGTCTCCTAAATTACTTTCAGATTCATCTTGTTGTGTTTCGTCTTGATTCACATCTGTAATTTATAGTTTTGAAGTACAATGAACACAAAACATTTTTATTTGTAAAGATGAACTTATTACGCTGATTTATGCTTATTTATTTATTTATTTATTTATTTATATTAGGGAAACAAACAATTTTCATATACAGACAAATAATCACACAAAAAATAGGACAGAAATCAGCAAAGTTTCCACAGTTAAAATTAATACAGATTGCAGACTAAAAATTAATTGAATAGTAATAAATTATACATTAATTTCTAAATGTCAAATAAATACAATGTCAATTTTATAAAATTTTATAAATTTTATGAGATACTACAAATATTAGTTCGATCAGCTTATAGTTTTCAGAACCCTATGCTATTTTAATATCTTACAGTTTTGTCAGCAAGTATCTCTGCTAGCTAGGTCTATTCTACACTGATAGTTTCTCTTTTATATTGAGACCCAAGAATTTATTATAACAAAAAATATGAATGAGAAAATACAGCGAGGAAATGCAGCCAGCATCTTTGCCTCGCGGACACACTTTTATTTTTGAGGAATAAAAAGTATATTTTTTGTTTGTTTAGAGTTAAGTTTGTGTTAGTTGTAAAAATATCTGTTTATTGTAGATAAAAGATCTTCTACTAAGGTTATTCTCTAAATATTTACATACAAAAGTCAGTACAAATATGAATTACTAGCTTTCCGCCCGCGGCTTCGCCCGCGTGGAATTTTATCTGTCACAGAAAAACTTTATCGCGCGCGTCCCTGTTTCAAAAACCGGGATAAAAACTATCCTATGTTCTTTCCCGGGACTCAAACTATCTCTATGCCAAATTTCATCAAAATCGGTTGCGAGGTTTAAGCGGGAAAGCGTAACAGACTTGTTGAGTTGGGATTTCTACCATAAGAACAATTAATCTCAATATCAAATAAAAACAGAAATAAAATTTACCATCTTTGTTAGTATCCTGGGTGTCTGTCTCCATAGATGCTGTTTCATCTTCATTAGTCTTTTCACTCTCCTCCTTCTCACAGTCATTTTCAGTATCTGTAACACTCATATCATCCACATGGTTTTGAAGTTCACTCACACTTTCTTTAGGCTCAGATTCACTATTTTCCACATCATCACTGTCAGGTTTGTCACAGGAAACATTATCACTAGGTTCTGGTGCTGGCTCCAGAGAATCTTGAGACTCAACGGGCTCCGTGTCATCAGATTTCACCACGTCTGACCCGTCCCCCGAACCTTGACTGGTCTCCTCACCAGGAGTTTCGGGAACAGATTCTTTTTCATCCATTATTTAAGTTTATACCACACATACACGATCTCCTACGTTAATAAACATCTGAAAGAACACGCACAAGGTTAAAATACAGGCTCTGTTTACGCCAACGTAGTAAACCCGGCGGAATAGTTTTTAGGTTATAATATTGCTAGTGGGACCCACTACTTTTCAATTAGAATGTTTTATGCAATAAATCTGATTCCGTTTACGTGAGATGTCTAATTTATGTTGAGATAATTGATAATTAGCATACAGGCTTTGAGAAAGCACACGATTGCAACAATTTATAATGACGCCAAAGTCGTAAGCATAGGTCCCGCGCTAATTCCAGTTCTAAGTCTACAAGTTTGTCAAGCGATAAGTATACAATAAAATCACTGGATACCGTGTTAACGAACAAACTGGGCGTGATTAACAGTTTATATAAAACAATTAAACAATTAATTGAAGAAATAATGAAGAAGGGAAGTTCCTTTGTAAGCAGCTCAAAATGCTCAGCCGAATACGAGCTGTCATTTCATATATTCGTAACATAACAGTTTGAGTAAATTTAGCGTAAGTTACATTATGTATGATAATAGATTCATTGGATATTTATCGTTTCCCTACTTACTTATTGAAATAAGTTTCACAAATCACTGAAAGCACAACAAACGGCAACCATTTTGGATCAACCAACCTCTGGCAATTTGTTGCGGAAGTCCGTAGTAATCAATATAACCAAATATTATTAATAAAGAATTTTCACTACAGTAATTATATTTTTGTTTCGTTAGTTATAACTAAAATGAGATTTTTATAATTTAGAAAATATGTTAACGTTTAATAAAAAAGTATTAATTAAAATAGAATAAAAAAGTACTTGATGCGGCTACAATTTTTTTTCGTTATGTTGGCACTAGGTGACGCTTTCATTTTTAGTGATGTATGTGACGAGATAAATCGGTTTCAATCGGTAATCGGTCAGATTTCGTTTCACCTACCCGACATGCAAATTAAGTTTTCAGTGTTAATTTTTTTGCTCTCGCTCTCATCAAATGGTGATTCTTTGCGATAGAACGGGGCATGACCAGCAATGGGCAGTTAACACTGTTGCTGATAGTATATAAGCGATGAGATATTGTTACTTTAAAAATACGGTAAAAGACGTCAGCGCAGAAAACACACAGATACTACTGTCCACCGTGTCTCATTAAACACTTGATATTGGCGAAACCAGAGACCCGATTACGGTAACTTTTAACGTCAACAATCCAGACACGCTTCTCGATTCTGCGATACGATTGGTCAAAACAGCTGACGTACGCTGTTGAACGACCAATCGTATCGCAGAATCGAGAAGCGTGTCTGGATTGTTGACGTTAAAAGTTACCGTAATCGGGGTCCTGGGCCCCGAATACGCTAAAAATTTTCATGTTCAACATGCCCGGACGTCAGCTGTTTTGACAAACCCGTATCGCAGAATCTTAGAAATCGAAGAAGCGCGTCTGTATTGGAAACGTTAAAAATTAGCGTAATCGGGGCACAGTGTCTGTGTTTTAAATACGCATCACTGAAGTTATTAAATAGAATAATAATAATAAATCTTTGCTTGTGTTTAACAGTGTTTATGGCCTCAACTCCCGATGTGCGACCTAATATTTTACTTATAATAAGTACGCTCTACGCTTATATTTGTCAAATTCTTACAATCTGAAACTGAACTCAATTTACTCCCGCTTCCCATAATTAATCATGTTGTTGTTGTTTCAGCCAAATGACGTCCACTGCTGGACAAATTAATCATGATCATGGGTCAATTTCAATCCACATTAGGATTGATTGATGGGGAGCGAAAGGTTAAGAATAATGTTGTACCCATTTAGTACATAAGATACCGGTAAATGATACCATATCTTTTATAGCAATAAAATGGAATCAGCTCATTAATTATTATCAGTTAACTTAATAATTTTTTAGTCTGGCATTAGCGAATTTCTCAGGATGGCTTATAAATATGATTTTTTCTTTGTATTAAAATTTAATTATTAAAATTTATTGCAATGAACGCATTATGTTTTCATAGTAAGTTTGTTTCCAATTACGTTTTGTCTGATTGAGGTAGTGTTGATTGGTTGTTTATTCGCGACTCTACATTGATTGGTCTTTTCTACGTCCCATTGCCGATCTACCAATGAATGACGGCCTAAGTTGTAATCGAATGTGTCAAATCTCCACAATAATTATGGCGGGTTCGTGTTTTTTCAAGCTCAAATATGAAATGAGTAGTAATGTGCGCTGCTCGGGCGGCGACATTGACAGCGATTTGTCGAATATTCTCATGCGCCATTTTGTGAAGGCAATGGAATTTTGTGTTAAGTAATCACTCTGCGAAAAACACATTTGTGTATGTCCAACTTCGCGGTAAGTGCCCTCTTCGAGGAAATGATATTCGGATTATTTGCGTTTCGTATGTGATAGCAAAGGTGCGACCGCGTTTATCGATGACTCGTTGGTGTTTTGTTTTATTTTTGCCTGCGAATAAGTGGTAGTTTGCCTTGGAAAAGGTTATTTTCTGTTTGCGTGATTGAGTATCATTAGAGATCATTTTCTTTTAGACTCGTCCACAATGAATGAGAAGGCTGTTGTGGGTAAAACGGTGCTCAAACGTCATGAGGTGGCTCGGCCAGTGCACATGCAACGGCTGGAGGCAGCCCTGGATGTGGTCCCGTTTGTGAGCCAGGTAGAAAGGATCCTGAACTCTGATGACGATTCCGACAGCGAAGATGACCCTGAGTTTAGGTATATTACCAGTGAGATGTCCAAAGGAGACCGCCTGGTGCATGGTGTAGTGACCACTAAGCAAGGTCAGTATGTTGTTTTGAGTTTTCTTATCAGCCTGATTAAGTGCACTTTGTAAACCAGCTGCAATCACTGTTTTTATTTGAATGTACATGGTTTTATGTCAGAAACTAGTATAATTTTCAAGCCTTTTGCTTTGATTTCTTATCATAACAACACAGGTGTTTAAAACTTACCTAAATAATAAGTTGACTGATTGAAACCATCTTTTTTTCTGTTTACAAGACCTATGGCTATTTATTTAAAACTAGCTTTCCGCCCACGGCTTCGCCCGCGTGGAATTTTGTCTGTCACAGAAAAACTTTATCGCGCGCATCCCTGTTTCAAAAACCGGGATAAAAACTATCCTATGTTCTTTCCCGGGACTCTAACTATCTCTATGCCAAATTTCATCAAAATCGGTTGCGAGGTTTAAGCGGGAAAGCGTAACAGACAGACAGACAGACAGAGTTACTTTCGCATTTATAATATTCGTTGGGATTAGTTGGGATTCACAAATTTTATTCATTCATAGGGTAAACCGTATAGCTATTGCCCACTTAAAGATTTCAAACACATTGAGATGAAAAATTAAAGAAAGTATTTTAATTATCGACCATTTATGACTTTTTTCTTATAACTCAATAAACTGTTAAACAGAATATTAACAGTTCTTAGTTAAAACTTAAGTAACTTAGAAAATATTGAAATAAATTTAAAATCGCCCAAAAAGTACAGTCATTGCCCATTACTTACACTAATTGCCCACATCAAAGCACAGTAATTGCCCAGTATCTTAAAACAAAATAATCAATTTTAAAATGACAAAATAGGCTTTAACCTCGTAAGCCCGGATGTGCCTCAGAAGGAACTGAAACTTTGTAGTCAGTAACGCCGAGACATTTTCGGAGGTGATTTCGAAGTATCGCCGGATGTGCCTTCAGAGGAACTAAAACTTTAGCGATAAATTTAAGTTAAAAAATTCGCGCCTATCGAAAAAAAAGAGTGATAGTCTATGGCTTAAAGTATTCAAAATCAGGTATCCGAACTTATTAATATAAAAAAAACAAAATGTCACTGTCAAATTATCATTTTTCTTTGACAAGGTGGTTCGTCCGAGAAGCCGTGATGTACGATTAATTTTTTTTCTTCACGTAAACGTAGTTTAATTGCAATACTGACCAGTATAATTTAAGTTAAAATACTGCTAAACAAGCAAAAAAATTATTTTTCCCAATTTGAAGTAGTTTTGTTAGATTTTCTTTCGTTTGAAAATAATAGTTCTTTGCAAGGAACATTCGGTCTTGATGGTGAAAGTTTTATTTTTGTATATTTTTTCTATTGAGATGGGATTGAGTATTGGACTATTAAAATTATGATATGATTGAGAAAATTTACCATGAGAACGTTCTGATTTTTAGTTTAGTAAATATTATAATTAACATGAATATTCACTTTACTTCTTATACATTTTAACCTATCATTAGTGTATGTTATAAAACCGATAGTACTTTTAAAAGTACTAATTATGAAACATTAAATAAAATTAAAACCGTTGTACCTTTTCAGTTACATTTATTAATATAATTATTGTATCTTTATGTAGTATTAATTTATTAAGAAGGTTATATTTATGTTTCACTTTAAAGTATAAAATACAATTTATTTACTTTTCCTATTTAAAGTTTGTAATACCGAATGTTCTTTTAAGAGAAATCATTTTTTTATTATTTTTCACCTAAAATAAGCTCTATGCACTATTATATAGGGCCCCTGAAAATATGAATGCAAAATAAAATCTCTAACATAGAAATTTTTTTACTCGAAGTGCTCGGCGTTTACTACTTCAAAATATTCGTTCTTCTGAAAGCACATTCGGCGATACTTAGAAGTCGACAAAATTTACTCTTCGGTCTTACGAGGTTAAATAAACAAAACAAAACATTAAACTTAAATTCTAGTAGTACAGTCTTCAAAATTTCAAAATAAATTGCGTTTGGCCTTATTAATATAAATATTGTCAAATATTTCTTGAGCTGATGTTGATGAGTCAGAATCGGTAGAGACAGAATCATCTACTTCAAAACATAGATGACGCAAAAATTTGAATTTTATATGTAAATTTTATATGTATNACATACATCATATAACATTTGTAATGTATTTTTGTAGAACGTCAGAGTGACCGTCTCCGCTTATATAACTTGGCGTCTGTGGGGGAGGAGAGAGAGTGGATACGAGATGTCTTACTGTCATCTGGGCCTGACACAAGCAGTGATGATGAGGAGACACCTGAAGGGAAAGAGCTAAGGCTACAGAGAATACTAAAAGAAAGGAGATTCCAAAATAAATATGCCAGGAAATACTATAAAGACCCTGGGGTAAGTGATATAAACTTCTAATAAGAGTAAGATATCATAATCTACCATCATAATAAATAAATACAGTATACAACATAATAAAGAAAGACATACATTGATTCCAAATTAAATTAAGTTACAAATTATTGGTACAATTGTTATAGATGATGATGATTGTCTGATTTTTTTTGCACTCCATTTATTTACTGGTTTCTTTACTCTAAAAGTTTGTTTCCTTTGAAAATTAATTTTTTAAATCATAACAAGTCCATGGATATCATTTTGGAAATAAGATGAAATAAATCTAATTAGATTCCAAACTTCTAGAACTCCCGCTACATGTACTACGGAGCTGGTATCATGTCAACCATCGACCGATACCCAGAGCGGAGGATGAGTAGGTCCGTGCCGCCTCCTCCGGCCACGAGGGGGCGGCGCGGGCGCCCGTCTGAGCGCGGGTCCACCAGAGGCATGGCCAAGTCTAGGAGAGGCCGAGCTAGGGAGACGCGGCCCTGTACTGATGTTGGTGACAATATGGTAAACTACACTCGCGAGCAAAAGTATGGAATCACTTACATGAAGTTGTTTCCACGCGAACTTGTGTACTAACGAATTTGTCACGAACAAAAAAAGTGGCACCATTTTAAAGATTAAACTTTAATCTTTAAATTGATACCAAATTCATTTAAATCACACCAGTATTTAAAAAGATATCCCGGCTGATGTGAAGAAGTAACGAAAAAGACATCTATGAACTGTTTGATACGTCGCGAGTTGCGGCCTATTTACCCCTTATAAAAGCACGCGTTTTCGGATTTTTGCTTTCACACGTTGATTCATACACATCTCCGCTTCTTTTGACACTTTACCTGGGATTCTACACCTTCAGAAGCAGCACAAATCGTTGCACTATTGCAAGAAGGGCTCAGCCAGCGAGCTGTCGCACGTCAGCGCCACATAAGCCAGTCCTGGGTTTCGAAAGTTTTAAGACGCTTTCGGGAGACTGGTGACTTTATCCCGAGACCAAGTTCTGAACAGCGCCGGCGCACATCGCAGAGGGAAGACCGTTTTTTCATGTCAACCTCTCTATGAAATCGTCATTTGACTGGAATCGACGTCCAGTAAGAGCTCAGAAATGTTCGTAGGATAGCTGTTAGCGAGTAGACAGTTTGTCTAAGACATAAGCAATAGAATTTAACTCCAAAAAGGCCTGCCACAGGCTCGAAACTGACGGCAGGTCACCGATAAGCACGCTTTCAATTTGCTCGTACACATCTCGATGTTAAGTCGAGCAAGCCACCCCCATAAGCCACTGTTTCAGCGAACCAGCACTGCACAAATCGCTCCTCAGGCCGCCTATAAACCCGACCTCTTCGACTGCTGCCCTGCAAACACAGTTTGCATTCATCGGAGAACAGAACTCGCCTCCATTACTCGCCTTCCCATCGAGATGTGTACGAGCAAATTGAAAGGGTCCTTATCGGTGACCTGCCGTCAGTTTCGAGCCTGTGGCAGGCCTTTTTGGAGTCAAATTCTATTGCTTATATCTTAGACGAACTGACCACTCGCTAACAGCTATCTTACGAACATTTCTGAGCTCTTGATGGACATCGATTCCAGTCAAATGACGATTTCATAGAGAGGTTGACATGAAAAAACGGTCTTCCCTCTGCGATGTGCGCCGGCGCTGTTCAGAACTTGGTCTCGGGATAAAGCCACTAGTCTCCCGAAAGCGTCTTGAAACTTTCGAAACCCAGGACTGGCTTATGTGGCGCTGACGTGCGACAGCCCGCTGGCTGAGCCTTTCTTGCAATAGTGCAACGATTTGTGCTGCTTCTGAAGGTGTAGAATCCCAGGTAAAGTGTCAAAAGAAGCGGAGATGTGTATGAATCAACGTGTGAAAGCAAAAATCTAAAAACGCGTGCTTTTATAGGGGCTAAATAGGCCGCAACTCGCAACGTATCAAACAGTTCATACATGTCTTTTTCGTTACTTCTTCACATCAGCCGGGATATCTTTTTAAATACTGGTATGATTTAAATGACTTTGGTATCAATTTAAAGATAAAAGTTTAATCTTTAAAATGGTGCCACTTTTTTTGTTACTAACAAATTCGTTAGTACACAAGTTCGCGTGGAAACAACTTCATGTAAGTGATTCCATAGTTTTGCTCGCGAGTGTATGTTTTTACAGTTAAAAACAATACCAAAAGTGGATTTCTTACATGTCCAAGTTCTTATGGTGGGTCCACACTGGGCGAACGGGCTCGTGCGGCATGCTGGTCATCCTGCTCACCCTGCTCTTGAGTGAGCAGGATGTCGAGTTTGCCGCGCGAGCCCGTTCGCCCAGTGTGGACGCACCATTAGAATGTCTTAGATTCTTCTTTGTAAATTGCTCAAAGCACACACTATTTGTGGATACCTCTATATTAATTGTAGATTATAAAGGAAGTAGTTATTTGATTGCTTCAAAAATATGTTTCCTGATCAGATCATAGGAATCACAGAAAGAGTAATGTTGCAGCTTACACATACTTTACAACTTGTACCCTTAATTTTGTAAAGAATACACCAAATATATCAATTCCCTTGTAGAGTTTATTGTAATTGAAGAATAGAAATATTTGTTATATTTGAACTGGATACCTACTACTAATATGAAATTATTTTTTAGCCTGATGGAGTAGACTGGGAAGATCAGTTACGAAATATCAAACAGGAAACTGATGCAGAAGAATATAATGTACCAATTGACAAACCTGGAGTTAGGTAAGAATAACTTTAAAATGATTGCTTATATTATACCTTAGTGTAGAAACACTGTATAAATATTTGTAAATATTTGAAGTTATAAAATTTGTTTCTATGTCATCCTTAAAAATGGCCTTATCTTCAAGGCTTAGCCTAATGATATTTCATAATTTAAATGACAATGCCTAGATTATGACATAGGCAGTAAATGACCACTTAATACACTAAGCATGCATTTCAAAGCCTTAAATTTTTCATTGTACAGAGGCCGCAAAAAACTATCGACACTAAAGAGTCCAGAAGCCCTAACTGCGCGGCGCCGACGGCACTGGCTGTTATTAGTAAAGAAAGAGCTGGGCAAAGTGCAAAGGGCGCGCACGGCTACGCACAGGGAAGTCTTACTGCAGAGGAAACGACTGGCCACACTGTGCTGCAAGCACTGGAGACACGTCGCCATGCAGGTAGCGTAAGTGTGTGATTAATATAGAAATAGAAAAACTTTGTTTGACACGAATATCATGTAAAAAATCTTAAAAAAAATAATACTGAGTCAGAGTTTGATGAACTGTCTGAGTATCCTACACACATATTATGGACTTGCAACCAAAGGTACATTTACTAAAGCCTGGTCCGTGAGCACGTAGAATGTTGTCCAATGACCCCAAGCTACCTGTGCCATGTTGGGAGACCGTATGAATGAGGCATCGCCGCCTGCAGTGAGTGTGCGAGCGCGACAGCAACATTGGACAACAACTTGGGGTCATTGGACAAAATTCTACGTGCTCACGGACCAGGCTTTAGATACTTGTGCAGTTCAGTGTTAATGTTATTCATCTTTATTTCTTAGACAATCCACTTAACTTCTATTGGCTCGAATTTTAGGCTTGATTTGTGCTTCATTTTTTCAAATAAGTCAAAATCATTTCACTGCTAATTTGTCATGTATAGGTACTTGTTTTCACAGTTTTAATCTATTTTTGTACCACTCTGTTTCTAAATTGTATTAATGTGCCTACACTACCTACCCTACACAAATAGTTTCTCTGTATTTCTATGTGTTCTATGTCTGAAGTATTTGAACAGAGGCGACTAATTATAAGAAAACATAGTCAAATTAACAATCTGCATTTTCGACTTAAAACACACATCCTTCCTTAACCCTCCAAGTTAGTAAAACTTAGCTATAAAGTGTTTCTTGTCCACAGTCTCAAAAGAACATGAAAGAGACAGTATGGCGGTGCAAGCGCCTCAGCCGCGAGATGCAAGCGTACTGGCGCCGCTACGACCGCGCCGAGAGGGAGACCCGTCGCCGCATGGAGAAGGAGGCCGAGGAGCAGAGGAAGGTAGTATTAAACTCAATTAATATTGAAAGAGAGAGAGTGAGAAAAAGAGAGAGGGACAAAGAGAGAGATAGGGTGTGTGTGTGTGTGTGTGTGTGTGTGTGTGAGAGAGAGAGAGAGAGATAGGGAGTGAAAGAGATGGGAGAAAATTAGGGAGTGAGAGAGAGAGAGTGAGGGAAGAGAGAGAAGGGAGCTAGAAAGACAGGAAGAGTAAGAGTAAGATAGGGATGAAAGAGAGAGCGGGAATCAAAGAGAGGGACTGTGAGAGAGGTAAATTAGGAGAGACGTCCACGTGACTTTATCAAGGTTGCGGGAAAAGGCGCTGTCGCAGAGGGTCGTCATTTATTTTTTACTAGCTTTCCGCCCGCGGCTTCGCCCGCATGAAGTTTTGTCTGTCACAGAAAAACTTTATCGCGCGCGTCCCTATTTCAAAAACCGGGATAAAAACTATCCTATGTCCTTTCCCGGGACTCACTATCTATGCCAAATTTCATCAAAATCGGTTCAGTGGTTTTGGCGTGAAAGAGAGACAGACAGACAGAGTTACTTTCGCATTTATAATATTAGTATAGACATAGTCTCAAAAGAACATGAAAGAGACAGTATGGCGGTGCAAGCGCCTCAGCCGCGAGATGCAAGCGTACTGGCGCCGCTACGACCGCGCCGAGAGGGAGACCCGTCGCCGCATGGAGAAGGAGGCCGAGGAGCAGAGGAAGGTAAAGCCCGGTCTCGGAGCACGTAGAATTTTGTCCAATGACCCCAAGCTACCCATCCTTATCGCTCGCGCGTAGTTATATTGCTGCCCGCAGTGAGTGTGCGAACGCGACCAGACTATAGTATCAATCTCAATAAATACTGAGAAAGTGGAAAAAGAGAGATAGGGAGTGTAAGAGAGCGAGATAGGGAGTGCGAGAGAGCGAGATAGGGACTGTGAGAGAGCGGGATAGGCAGTGTGAGAGAGCGAGATAGGGAGTAAGAGATAGAGAGAGACGGAGTAAGAGAGGGGGGGAGGAGTGTGAGAGATAGAGAAAGAAAGTGAGATAGGAAGTGAAAGAGAGAGCGATATAGGGAGTGTGAGAGAGAGAGCGAGATAGGGAGTGTGTGTGTGAGAGAGAGAGATAGATAGGGAGTAGGAGAGAGAATAGGATAGGGAGTGAGAGAAAAAGAGAGGGACTATGAGAGAGAGTGAGAGAGGTAAATTAGGTGAGACGTCCACGTGACTTTATCAAAATTGCGGGAAGGGGCTGTCGCAGAGGGGTCGTCATGATGATGTAAATGACACTTGTCTAATAAATGGGTTAAGATTGTCTTAATACAGTCTACAAACATATTTATTTAACTCCAATCTTTGTTCCCAGATGGACGTAGAACTGATGGAGGCGAAGCGGCAACGTCGCAAGCTCAACTTCCTGATTACGCAGACGGAGTTATATGCTCACTTTATGCAACGCAAGCTGAGTTCAGCGGAGGACGGTGACAGCGGCGCCGATCGTATCTTGCGGCAGTTGGATGAAGATCGTGACCCAAGGCTGGCGGGCATCGACCACTATGACAGGTTAGCGGTTAGCGGAGCGGTAACGTCGCACACTTTCTGCCCACAGGCGGAGTGGCTAGCGGAGCGGCAACGTCGTACCATTGCTAAAGCCTGGTCCGTGAGCATGTAGAATCCCGTCCAATGACCCCAAGCTACCCATCCCTATCGCTCGCGCGTAATTATATTGCTGTCGCGACTGTGCGACGGGCGCCCGCAGTGAGTGTGCGAGCGCGACAGCAACATAATTACGCGCGAGCGATAGGGATGGGTAGCTTGGGGCCATTGGACGGGATTCTATGTGCTCACGGACCAGGCTTTAGCTACAGGGGTAGATCGCATCCTGCGGCAGTTACGGCCGAATACTGAAACACTACTCAAATCTGTCACTCAGCTGACGGGCTCCTAAATTTAAGTATCCTTCAATTTTAAATTGTATTCTCAAACGCCACTCAACGGATTTGAAGCCGTGATCAGCTAAGCAGCTCTCAAATGTTTACATAATGGCAACATTTACCAAAAAAAGTATGTTTTCATTTACACAAATGATAACTTTACGTTTTTTATCCATTACACGCAGCATCGTTTGGTTATGTATTGTCTTTTATGGAAATATTACTCAATCAACTTAACATACAACAGTTTATTTTTAGTTTCTATTATACATAAATCTCGTTTTATCATATAAAAAAATTAATGCTTGCATTTTTATTTAATTAAAAAAATAATTTTAAAGGTGATACTTTTTATTGTTGAAATCTATTAAGTGGCGATCGTGGACCGAAACGTAACCACAATTGACATTTATCATTGTTGACAGAGCATCAAATTGACAAATCAACAACTCTTGGAAATGCTACTATGCGATGTCCCCATATTATTCCTCAGAAGTAATCATGTTTATGTAAAGCGATTTCATAGCAGCTATTTTGGTTGTTACTTTGTGCACTATACGATGCACAGTTGGCTGTTCGATGTGGAAGATATCACCTAGTACACGTTCATAACTTCCCGTTGCGTAGAACAGTAGGGTTATAATAAGTATTTGGTCCACTGGTTGTATGGCGTTTGGTGCGGGGTTTCAAAGAGCTTCCAAATTATGAATCCAGACACAACACCGTTTCTTTAGAGATGCGGAACCTCGCTCGGAATTGCATGTCATTATAATAATATTTTTCAATAGCGTTCAGCATTATTGCGTTCCTGCGATTAGATCTAGGTATTTCCTCGAGCCTCGAAAGAAATGATAACGATGACACACATTATTTACCACTATTTAGGTCGATTTAGGTATAAGAATAGGATTTAAGATACCGCGCAAGCACTCTCAAATTTAACAGCTGCTTAAGACGATTTGACAGTTGTTTGAGTAATGCTTAGCGTTGAATGGCGTTTCAGTATGCGAAAATTCATTTAAGTGGCGTTTGAGTGCAACTTAATTTGAGAGGTGCTTAAAAATTGAGAACTGCTCAGATATTGTTTTGAGTATGCGAAATGTAAGTTTAGGAGCTGCTTAACTATTTGAGAAGCCGTCAAATATTTAAATGGCGTTTCAGTATTCGGCCGTTAGATGGGGACCGCGACCTGCGCCTGGCGGGCATCGACCACTATGACAGGTAAAGCGGCTAGCGGAGCGGCAACGTCGCACACTTGCTGACCAAAAAGGCGTAGTAGCTAGTAGAGGGGCAATGTCGCACCAGTTGCTGATCACAGGCGGAGCGGACGCTTACTTCATGGTTTTGATATTTTTTGAACTGAGCTTTAGGATATTTTTTCAAAGTCAAAGCATTCAGTATTTAGACCCTTTCCAGTAGGCCTTAGATGCGCCCCGCGATAAGCGGTTATCATCTTTAGACTGCGTTTCCACCAGAGATGTGCGAGGATGCGTAGCGAGTCAATGTGTTTGTAATGAACCAATATTCAGTACCCGTCAATAAATATTGCACATCGACCTTTGGAAAGAGACAATCGGCTCGTAGAGCGTTATCTCTGTCGCACACTACCTATACGATTGACAAAACATTATTCAATGAAAATATTGTCCGAACCCCTTATATTTCTCTTCGACAAATACTTTAACACATTGTGAACCACTTTTCTTTCACGACTATAAAAAGTTTTTAGCAAAATTCACAAAATCTTTAATAAAGTTTGTTTACACTTTGACAAAACGTCATTGTCAGTCATTGTTCAAGTGCGACAGTGATAACGCTCTACGAAACCGAAATTAGCCGATTGTCTCTTTCTAAAGGTCGATGTGCAATATTTATCGCCGGGTATTGTAATCGCTTCATTTACCGAGGCGAGACAAATGAATCTGGTGGACACGCAGCCTTACCTGCCTTTATCACTGGAATCAATTGTCATTTCTTTCTCCAGCGACGCGATGAAAGCGCGCGCGTCGCGCAACGCACGCGAGGCCTTCCACGCGGAACGCGCGCGCACGCAGCTATTCGACGCGGCGGCGGGCGCGGGCGAGCCAGAGCGCGCGCCCGGCGACCACGACCAGCCCGCCATCTTCCGCGGCACGCTCAAGGGCTACCAGCTGAAGGGCATGAACTGGCTCGCCAACCTCTACGACCAGGTAGGAACATGTTCCACGCCTCAGCCTCGAATTTAGCGGGCAGCGGGGCGGCGGCGGTAGCGGCGCGGGAGCGGCAGGATCTTATGCGTAAAATCAAATAGACCGGTTCTCGAAAACTGCGCCGCGGGAGCGGGCAACGAGCGGGCAGCGCACTCCTTCTTTTGCCCACAATAAATCGAGCGTTAGGAATAAATTTGAATCGAAATAAAATTGTCGCCGTTGTTCAGACATTTCGCTTGCGAATAAAAACAAATATCTCGACAACACAACCCCGAACACAACACTTCGCCGCTAAAGCGCCGCACGAGCTGCCCGCTTGTTTCGAGAACGGGTCTGCGTTGCCCGCCCCGCTCCCGCGCCGCCGCCGCTCCCGCCCCGCTGCCCGCTAAATTCGAGGCTGAGGCGCGGGCGAGCCGGAGCGCGCGCCCGGCGACCACGACCAGCCCGCCATCTTCCGCGGCACGCTCAAGGGCTACCAGCTGAAGGGCATGAACTGGCTCGCCAACCTCTACGACCAGGTAGGAATTAAATAGGTGATTGCTATAGTAATTGGCCTATACATAGTTATTTATTGGCATATTTGATTGTTAATAAGTAAGAGACAAAAATACTAATACTACATTGGATTGCGTATTGCTCAGAAAAAATATTTGTCTCTTTTCCTCTCTTAATAACTTCCATTAGGCTTGTTTTTTTTTTCATTTTAGGCAAGTTGGCCTATAACTATGTATTGGCTAATTACTATAGCGATCACCCTAATTCTGTAAGGAAACTGTTGCTGACTGACTCAGCCAAAGCACAGCTGAAACACTGAACCGAATAAATAATATGACGCGAGGCATCCGAACAGGGATTTTCTGAAATTCATCCTTGAAGAAGAATCCATTTATTGAAGACGGATGCGCTCTCTTTTGCACCACCGTTTTTCAAGGTTGGTTGTCAGCTTTCAGCCATGTTAAATATTCGATATTCTTAGAGTTGTTTCGCACTACGTCCGATTCGAAGCCGTGACAATACGGTCCAGAGCAGTCATGATCGTAGGCACTGGATCCAATTTCCGTAATCCGATTTCACGCAGTGGTATTTAACCGGTGGTCCCTGGAGGCACTCCAAGTGGTCCACGAAGACATCGTAATAAACAAGTGGCGTGACGTGATGAGTCGAGTCAACACAACGCAAACGGCGCACAGTGGGCGAGAAATCGACCTCCCCTTTCATAGGATTTTGAAAAAAATATAAGTGGTCCTTGACAACACAGAAATTTGGTAAAATGGTCCCTCGTTACTTAAAGGTTAGGAACCACTGGTCTAGTGTTTACTGGATCCTTTTTTTACGGATTCGGATCGATGAAAGTATGAAATCGCTCTTAATGTTATTAACACACTAAAAAGTACAGTAATATTCAACACATTTATCTTTATTGTAGGGCATCAGCGGCATCCTAGCCGACGAGATGGGCCTCGGCAAGACAGTTCAATGCATCGCGTTCCTGTGCCACGTGGCGGAGCGCCTGGGCGTGTGGGGCCCCTTCCTGGTGGTGTCGCCCGCCTCCACGCTGCACAACTGGCAGCAGGAGATGGAGCGCTTCGTGCCCGACTTTAAAGTGGTGAGTAACTTTATGAGTAACTCTGTGAAGATGATTGTGAACATGTTTGTGAAAAAATATAACTGGCAGCAGGAGATGGAGTGCTTTGTGCGCGACTTCAAAGTGGTGGGTAACTTTGGTAACATGTTTGTGAACATATTTGTGGATACGTACAACTAGCAGCAGGAGATAAGCGCTTCGTGCCCGATTTAAAAATGGTGAGAATATTTGTGAAGATGTTTGCGCAAATAATTGTGGAAATATACAACTGGCAGCAGAAGATGGAGCGCTTCGTGCCCGACTTCAAAGTGGTGGGTAGCTTTGTGAATATGTTTGCGCAAATATTTGTCAACATATTTGTACAAATGTTCGTAGAAGTAAACGCACAACTGACAGTGCTTCGTAACCGACTTCAAAGTGGTGAGTGACTTTGTGAAGAAGTTTTCGCAAACATTTGGCAACATGTTTGTGGAAATGCACCACTAGTAAGTGTAACACACGAGATGGGCTTTGTAAGACAGTGCAGTGCATCGCGTTCCTGTGCCACGTGGCGGAGCGGCTGGGCGTGTGGGGCCCCTTCCTGGTGGTGTCGCCCGCCTCCACGCTGCACAACTGGCAGCAGGAGATGGAGCGCTTCGTGCCCGACTTCAAAGTGGTGGGTATATTTGTGAACATGTTTGTGGAAATATACAATTGGCAGCAGGAGATGGAGCGCTTCGTGCTCGACTTCAAAGTGGTGGGTAACTTTGTGAACATATTTGTGGATATATACAAATGGCAGCAGGAGATGGAGCGCTTCGTGCCCGACTTCAAAGTGGTGGGTAACTTTGTGAACATGTTTGTGGAAATATACAATTGGCAGCAGGAGATGGAGCGCTTCGTGCTCGACTTCAAAGTGATGGTTACTTTGTGAAGATGTTTGTGAACATGTTTGTTGATTTATACAACTGGCAGCAGGAGATGGAGCGCTTCGTGCCCGACTTCAAAGTGGTGAGTAACTTTGTGAAGATGTTTGTGAACATATTTCTCAATATGTTTGTGGAGATATACAACTGGTAGGAGAAGATGGAGCGCTTCGTGCCCGACTTCAAAGTGGTGGTTACTTTGTGAAGATGTTTGTGAATATGTTTGTGGATACATACAACTAGCAGCAGGAGATAAGCGCTTCGTGCCCGACTTCAAAGTGGTGGGTAACTTTGTGAACATGTTTGTGAACATATTTGTGGATATACAGGGTGTTAGGTAAATGGGTATATGAGCCGACACTAGCCCATGTTAACATGGGCATATAAATGGTATGGTGAAGTCAGAAAATTGATATCTTCATTTTAATTATTTTAATTTTCATATAAATCGAATTTTATAAAATTTATTTTGTATGAAAATTAAAAAATTAAAATGATGATATCAAATTTCTGACTTCACCATANTGGTGAAGTCAGAAAATTGATATCTTCATTTTAATTATTTTAATTTTCATATAAATCGAATTTTATAAAATTTATTTTGTATGAAAATTAAAAAATTAAAATGATGATATCAAATTTCTGACTTCACCATACCATTTATATGCCCATGTTAACATGGGCTAGTGTCGGCTCATATACCCATTTACCTAACACCCTGTATACAAGTGGAAGGAGAAGATGGATGGATTTGTGAACATATTTGTCAACATGTTTGTGGAAATATACAACTGGCATCAAGAGATGGAGTGCTTCGTGCCCGACTTCAAGGTGGTGGGTAACTTTGTGAAGATGTTTGTGAACATGTTTGTGGATATGTACAACTGACAGCGGGAGATGGAGCGCTTCGTGCCCGACTTCAAAGTGGTGGTTACTTTGTGAAGATGTTTGTGAACATGTTTGTGGATTTATACAACTGGCAGCAGGAGATGGAGCGCTTCGTGCCCGACTTCAAAGTGGTGGTTACTTTGTGAAGATGTTTGTGAACATGTTTGTGGAAATATACAACTGGCAGCAGGAGATGGCGCGCTTCGTGCCCGACTTCAAAGTGGTGAGTAACTTTGTAAAGATATTTGCGCAAATATTTGTCAATATGTATGTGGAAATATACAACTGGCAGCAGGATATGGAACGCTTCGTGTCTGACTTGCAAGATATTTGTACAAATGTTTGTGGAAAAACGCACAACTGACAGTGCTTCCTGCCCGACTTCAAAGCGGTGAGTGCGACTGTGACACATGAGATGGACCTCGGCAAGACAGTGCAGTGCTAGTGTAATGTATGACAGGTGCATTAATGAGTACAATAAACCGCTGAGGGACTATAGAACAACTATTGATGTCTGGAGGAAATTCTCTTCGATCCCAAGACGATTAAAATTTTACGACCTCTTTTGTTACAATCTGTTTTATGTTAAATCCATTTATCTTCTCTACCTACCAGGTACCCTACTGGGGCAGCCCGAGCGAGCGTAAGATTCTCCGCCAATTCTGGGAGCGCAAAGACTTGCACACTCGCCAAGCCGCCTTCCACGTCGTAGTGACGTCATACCAGATCGTCGTATCAGATCTAAAGTATCTGAACCGTGTGTCGTGGCAGTATATGATCCTGGATGAGGCGCAGGCTATAAAAAGCTCGGCCAGTATGAGGTGGAAGCTGCTGCTTGGTTTTAGCTGCAGGAATAGACTGTTGCTATCGGGTGAGTAACCTTCCTAATTATCGTCTTTCCATCATAGGCCTACAGTAGGCTTAAAATGCGTGGCACGATAAACTCTTATCGATTTTTTCATGCCACGTTATAATTTACTAGCTTTCCGCCCGCGGCTTCGCGCGCGTGGTCTACATTATCTACATATTTTACGGAACCCTATTTTTTTCCAAAATAAAATATAGCCTATGTTACTCGTGGATAATGTAGCTTTAGAATGGTGAAAGAATTTTTAAAAACGGTCCAGTAGTTTTTGAGCCTATTCATTACAACCAAACAAACACAAAGTTTTCCTCTTTATCATATTAGTGTAGATATGTTGTTGGTATTTATTTTGCTACTTAATACTGCTTTGGTTCTATGTATTTTGGGTTATTCGGCTTTGGATTCCAATGAAAACAGTATGTTGCAGTTTTGGCAATTCTAGCGTAATTAACTTCACGCATTTATTACAGGCACACCCATCCAAAACAGCATGGCGGAGTTGTGGGCACTCCTCCACTTTATAATGCCGACGCTGTTCGATTCGCATGAGGAATTCAACGAATGGTTCTCGAAAGACATCGAAAGTCACGCTGAGAATAAGAGCACTATTGATGAGAGTGAGTCGAAAGTTTAATTGAACACAATTTAGGTTTTATGATTTAGGATTAACGATACACAATACCACAAGGTGAACTGACGACCTCATTATGGAAATCATTGAGGGAGGCCTTAGTTCAGCAGTGGACGTCTTATGGCTGAAATTGTAATGATACATTCGTTAGCGATACATGCGTCTTTGTATTGACGATACTTCGAAGGTTCGACGAAACAAGTCAATGCAAGTTCCGTCTTTTTCCAAATTCTACGTTTTTTCCCAATACTCGTAAATTAGACTCAACTGACTGTTAGTTTCTGGACTTCAATTTCAAAGATAAATAAGATTTATTTTTTATATTATGTCTGTAAGTTTAACATGGTGTTTGTCATTTTCATTAGGAATTAAAATGATTATTAATTAGTTGAATGTACTTCACAGAGCACTTGTCACGGCTACACATGATCCTAAAACCGTTCATGTTACGGAGAATAAAGAAAGACGTGGAAAACGAGCTTTCAGACAAAATTGAGATTATGGTACATTGCCCCTTAACTATAAGGCAAAAACTTTTGTACATAGGTAAGAAATAAATAAATAACCATTGTGTAATACTGTTTTAAGTATTTGAGTCACGTTTATGAGTAATAAAAACTTTATTTCAGCTTTAAAAAAGAAAATTAAGATAGAGGAATTATTACATTACTCGGTTGGTGCTGAATCTGGTCACAACGTAGATAAAAACTTTACATCGAATTTAATGAATTTAGTCATGCAGTTTCGTAAGGTAAGGTTTTGTGAACTATACCTAAATTCTTTAGAAATGTTGTCTCTGACACATCAGTGTTGTAACCTGTAAGTCATAGACAATAATCGGTAAATTTAATCGATTTTATTTCAATTATTCAATCATTTTTATTACTGATTGCATTTAAATAGATTTAAATAGGGTCTTAATCAACAATGTATTTTTTCTTCATTGAATGTACTACTAATTGTTTAATGCACTGCTTTATAAAGCATTATAAATTCTTACTATAGGTACGTAAGTACTACAATAATTTCAATCCGTGATTAACGAGAGGTTTTGTCGCCTCACTAGGGCACAGATTAAAAATGTTTTAATGTCGGCCATATTTGTTTACATATAGGGAAATTTCTAAAGAATCCGACTTTACGTCTTTACTTACTCTATAGATAGATGATGATATTGATTGTTCTGCGGTAGTGGAGTATATTTTTGTTACTTCAAACGTCAGGAAGACTAGCGCCCGTATTCACAAACGGTGCTTGCTTGTTGAACTGAGCTCTGTGATTGATTCGTGTGTCACCCTGTGCGTCCACGCGCACTGTGAGACCATAGTAATCTTTGTGAATACGGGCGTAGATGTTTCAGATAAGAATTGTGACGTCACATGTCACCCCTCCACTACTGCAGAAACCCCAATAAAGCACTACACCTGTAGTAACAATTTAATCAGCTATTTTCTTGGTAACCCCAGGTATGCAACCATCCAGAGCTTTTCGAAAGGCGCGACGTAAAGTCTCCCTTTGCGATGCACATAGACGACTACCACATACCAAAACTAGTCGCCGAAGACGGCGTCCTAATACGTTCCATTCCATCGAAGCGACATCTACTCTACAACATTCTGTCGGTGTTGATACCAGAACACGTGCATAGGAACGCAAATGACTGCGAATTAGAAGAAAGCCAAGATGGGAATGTGAAGTGCTTCGCGTTTACGAGGTTTATGGATCTGTCGCCGATGGAGATTTATAGGGTTATGCTGTGCGGGTGGTTGTATGCGTAAGTTAATACTTGTTTTTATTGAAAATAATTCCATTGCTATAATTTGACATAAATTCAAAATAAAAAAATTATATGGTTTAGTCCAAAATTTTGGAAATAAGATATTTGTATGGTAAAGTCACATGAACTCTCAGAGATGTCAAAATAATTTCACATTGATTTCAATGATTCATACAATTACAAAATCTGTCAAGATTTCGTAGTTGCTTTATAATATTCTACAATATTTTTCTTAGATTTATTTTTGTTTGCAAGATTGCATATTTCTATTGTCGCGGCCTAAACATGCTACTACCCTACGTAATTTCATGGTTTATACATTTCCAGAATGCAACACATAGAATATAGTTTAGAAAAATACGAAAGGATACGCCACAGACAAAACTGGTGGGACCGTTCGAAGCCGTCCGAGCACATCAAAGTGGAAGAGACAGAGATAGACGATATGCCAAACTACTACGACCAAGTGAGATGCAAAGACAGTCTGCTGATTTGCCCTGACGGCGATGTGTTGGGGAAGAGGAAAGAAGACAGTTTGCTGTGGAAAGAAATGCTGTTTACGGATCCTTTGTGGGTGCCAGGTATGTCTGATGTTGCAAGAACAATAGGGATGTTTTCTGGGTAAAAAAGCTAGAGTTTTATTTAGGCCGTCAGTTAACTTATCAAAAAATACTCGACACGTATTTTTCACTTTTTCAAACTAATGAAAATTTAAAGAGGTAAACCGCGCCAAAGTTCTAAAGAAGATGCCCGTGACGTCAATGAGTGCTTTACAACTATTTATTTGTTTGATTAACAATCCCAACTAATATTATAAATGCGAAAGTAACTCTGTCTGTCTGTCTGTCTGTCTGTCTGTCTGTCTGTTACGCTTTCCCGCTTAAACCTCGCAACCGATTTTGATGAAATTTGGCATAGAGATAGTTTGAGTCCCGGGAAAGAACATAGGATAGTTTTTATCCCGGTTTTTGAAACAGGGACGCGCGCGATAAAGTTTTTCTGTGACAGACAAAATTCCACGCGGGCGAAGCCGCGGGCGGAAAGCTAGTTAAAAATATATGTGTCCAATATTTTTTGATATTAAAATTGACAGACTAAAAAATTTTTTTAGGAAACTAGCCTATTAGCTCAATCCCAACTTAATATTATAAATGCGAAAGTAACTCTCTCTGTCTGTCTGTCTGTCTGTCTGTTACGCTTTCCCGCTTAAACCTCGCAACCGATTTTGATGAAATTTGGCATAGAGATAGTTTGAGTCCCGGGAAAGAACATAGGATAGTTTTTATCCCGGTTTTTGAAACAGGGACGCGCGCGATAAAGTTTTTCTGTGACAGACAAAATTCCACGCGGGCGAAGCCGCGGGCGGAAAGCTAGTGATCTCATAAATAAAACTTTGTTTACCATAAACTGGTTTGGTTACAAGCATTCTATTTGGCTTTATTGATATCAATATCTTGTATTCTTATTTGCCAGGAGGTCCATTCTACACGCACACAGACCACACGATCCACTACATGCCAGAGACAATAGAACATCGAGCTATGCGCTTGCGCTGCAACGCTGAGAAGGAAGGACAGGTAAACTATTTATTACTAATTTGGCTTCTTGGGACTTCAGAAGTTACACGGCTAAAACCTAGGCTAGGCTGTTAACACTGGTAGACAGTACATGTTATTAAGAACTACTTCTCAAATGACACTAATTATTCATAAACATTGTCTTTGGGCATAATGTCAATGTAAAACGAGTAAGAGACGTCTATAGGCGTTCTGTCGTATCATTCTTTACTACCTGAACGCCCGTGGACGTTACTGTTCATCAATGTGTTAAGTAAGTAGTCTGTAGTATGAACTATCGAGTTGGCTCACATAAATATATTTAAATAGTGGTTTTTTTTTTTCTGTATGATAAACAGTTTATAGTTATAGTTTGTTTTTAGTTTCTATTTTGTTTTGTCAGAACAAAAGCTAATTATTTATGGGTATTTTCCTTAGCCGGAAATGTTGAGTGAGATAAAGACCGAAGAGGGTGGTGTGATATCAGTGCAGACTGAGGAGCAGCCATTCCCACACATTGAGCGGCCGCCGGTGGTCTACCGGGATATGCCTACCCCGCTGCCTTCGTTCCTGTACACGGCTCAACAGAAGGTAAGTGTAATAGCTGTATTGTAAGGCCAATTACCCAATATGGAGACGGAAGATTACCTGTTTATAAAGTGGCAACTATATTTTTTCTGTTCAAGTTATCATTGTCAACAACATCAGGCACCACTCACCAGTCTCTCACAACGATATGGGTACACTGGTCCAGTATTGTAATAGACCTAAATTAATTAAGACGCATGTACTGTTGTGGAGAGATAAATAAACAAGTTATTTATTTATTTACAATATTATCCCGTTTCAAACCGTGATTAAGATCTGAGCTGACATTGAGCTCCTACATGTTGAAATGTCCCAAAAGCTCCAATAAAATAAGCTTACGGGTACTAACTGAAAAGTCTTCTTAATTTTCAATTCTATTGTTTAGTGCTCTCGAAAATGTAATTTAATCGAATCATTATTCGTTTCATGTTTATGTCAATTACATGCCGTCCCTGTCCCGCCAGGTATCAGCTCACACGCGCGTCCCGTTCGCGGTGTCCCGCAGCTTCGCGTACCACGTAACGCGGCACCAGCACGCCGAGTGCCGCGAGGGCTGCGAGGCCGCCGACCGCCTAGTGGCCGCCGCCCGCCCGCCCGCCGGCTGGGCGTCCCTACAAGTGCCGGGTAAGTAACGCTTCCTTGTCCCGCCAGATGTCCCGCATCCCATTCGCAGTGTCCCGCCGCCCGCCCGCCCGCCGGCTGGGCGTCTACAAGTGCCGGGTAAGTAACGCTTCCCTGTCCCGCCAGATGTCCGCGTCCCATTCGCAGTGTCCTGCAGCGAGGCCGCTACCGGCTGGGCGTCTCTACAAGTGCCGGGTAAGTGAACGCTTCTGTGTCCCGCCAGACGTCCCGCGTCCCATTCGCAGTGACCTGCAGCGAGGCCGCCCGCCGGCTGGGCGTCTCTACAAGTGCCGGGTAAGTAGACGATTCTGTGTACGTTCCTAGGAGCGTCCCATTCGTGGTCCGAGCCCGCCGACCGTTTAGTAACAGCCGCCCGCCCGCCTATCGGCTGGGCGTCTCTACAAGTGCCGGGTAAGTAACGCTTCTACGTCCCTGTCCCGCCAGGTATCAGCTCACACACGCGTCCCGTTCGCGGTGTCCCGTAGCTTCGCGTACCACGTGACGCGGCACCAACACGCCGAGTGCCGCGAGGGCTGCGAGGCCGCCGACCGCCTAGTGGCCGCCGCCCGCCCGCCCACCGGCTGGGCGTCTCTACAAGTGCCGGGTAAGTAGACGATTCTGTGTACGTTCCTAGGAGCGTCCCATTCGTGGTGTCCTGTAGCGAGCCCGCCGATCGTTTAGTAATAGCCGCCCGGCCGCCTATCGACTGAGCGTCTTTACAAGTGCCGGGTAAGTAGCGCTTCTGTGTGCGTCCCGTCTCGCCAGGTATCAGTTCACACACGCGTCCCGTTCGCGGTGTCCCGCAGCTTCGCGTACCACGTGACGCGGCATCAACACGCCGAGTGCCGCGAGGGCTGCGAGGCCGCCGACCGCCTAGTGGCCGCCGCCCGCCCGCCCGCCGGCTGGGCGTCCCTACAAGTGCCGGGTAAGTAAATGCTTCTGTGTACATCCCTGTCCCGCCACGCTCACACTCGCGTCCCATTCGCGATGTCCCGGTGGGCGTCTCTAAAAATGCCGGGTAAACTCCTAATTTTTTTCTATTTTTAATGCAGATCAAGACAGGTTTTGAGTTGTCGTTTCAACCAGAAAAACGCCTTCCCTAAGGATGACTACAAGACCCGGTCTTGCGCAGATGATTTCAAATTACTCATGTAATTATTTTGGTTATCCTACTATGGTTACCTACGGGCAGTTCTAAGTTATTCTGGTACTTAATTTAACATTATAATTCACTTTCCTGAGACTAAATAATCAACTAATATGATTTTGTTTTAGATAAGAACCAGCTGGTAAGCGACGCCGGAAAACTGACGGTTCTAGACTCATTACTGAAAAGACTGAAGGAACGAGGCCATAGAGTGCTGATCTACAGCCAAATGACGAAGATGATCGACTTATTAGAGGTACGTATGTAATACTATAGATCAGTGTTTTTCAACCTTTTTCTTGCCACGCCCCTCCTAGTATGAACAAATATTTTGCTTCCCCCCAACCGTTCACATTTTTTTTCATGCATTTTATGTTACAAAGATGTAGAGGCCGAATACTTAAATCCATACAACATTTATTTTATGCATTTGCATTATTAGATTTCGGATAAATCTTTCTTCAAAATTTTACTGTTTTTTTTAAGTAGTTTTTACGACTTCTCGCGACCCCTCCTATAGAGGATTCGCGACCCCCTGGGGGGTCATCAGTGATGACCCCCCAGGGTCACATCACAGGTTGAAAAACACTGCTATAGATAATAGAGCTATGAAATTTAATTAAAGTCCAGTCTTGAAAGTAAATGTTTTTTCAGGAATACATGTGGCACAGAAAACACAAATACATGCGGTTAGACGGTTCCAGTAAGATATCAGCGCGTCGAGACATGGTTGCCGATTTTCAGGTAAGGAAACTCTTTGATTTTGCCCATTACACTATTTTATATTTTTTAAAACAAGGAAGAAAATAAAGTTCAATTTTCTATGTAGGCAAGAGCTGACATCTTCGTGTTTCTACTGTCCACACGAGCTGGTGGTCTGGGTATCAATCTCACCGCTGCGGACACTGTAAGTGAACCACTTAATTTCATTCTACTAATATTTTACAATCAATAATATTAACGTATCAAGCGGCAGTCTGATTTTATACTTGTTTTAGACTGGCTTTAACTAAATTGTTTATGTGTTTTCTTTGAACCACAATAGGGAAGCTATTGGCCTGCATCTCATCTGATAAAAAGTGAAGATCAGGCTGTAGTTTGAAGAAAGTTTCATCCGCAATCCTCAAATCAGAGAAACTGGCTATCTTACTTCTAACTGCCGAAACAACAATGTTGTTAACATTGTAGCTAAGAAGACAGACTTTAGTATTATGTATTTAGTTTTGAAACCCTTTCGCAGGTGATATTCTACGACTCAGATTGGAACCCCACAGTGGATCAACAAGCCATGGACCGCGCGCATCGTTTAGGCCAGACGAAGCAAGTCACGGTGTACCGTCTAATCTGCAAGGGCACCATCGAGGAACGCATTATGCAGCGCGCACGGGAGAAAAGCGAGGTATGATCGTACGACACCAATACACCATGGACCTAGTTATGCAAAAAAAAAAATAGATTATTGAAACAGTTTTGTCTTCGTTAAACTTTGTAGCGCTGGTTTAGAATTTTGGAAAATCTTTTCTAGCTTTCTTTCTAGAGAGCCATGTGTGACCTTTTTTAGCCCTAGAAATCTGTACGGAATCTCACTCATAAAGACACAGAACCGCGGCGAAAAAGCGAATTCTTTTTTTGATTCTTTTTATTTTATTTAGAAGCCATAATTGAGAATGTTACTAGGTATGCAAAATCACTTGAAACCTATGTTACAGTTAAGCTTTTACATTTACAAATACATTAGTTTTTATTTCATTCAAAAATACCCAGTAGTTATGATTTTATAGGCATTCAAAGTTCGCTTAAATATTGAGTCCCGCCGACGGTCACGTGACCCCGTGTGACGTACATTCACAGCGTCCGCTCACTAGAAAACGGATATAAACATACTTAAATATTTTTTTTTTGTAAATACAAACTTATTATACATATTAACACCCAGACCCATCACAGAAATTAAAATTGAACCAAACCCAAACTTGATGCGATTGTGTCGTTTTATTGCGAATTACCTTCCAGCTCCATCATTAGACCCCGATTACTATATAGAATTAAAATACTCATCAATACAAAACGAACGAGCCCAAACTCGATGCATTTAAGTCGTTTTATTATAGAGTTCCTATGGCCACCTTCCAGCTCCATCATCAGATCAGCTCCATGTCATCATAATATTGCATGGTCATCCAAATCACATGTGTTTGCGAAATTTCAGCTTAATCGGTTGCCTGGAAGTGGGTCTTAATTCAGTTTGCAAGATTCCACCCATACAAATATGAGCCAGTCGTTGTAATATGACGTCACGCGCATAAAATGGCGGGCCGGCCGCCGCCCGCACTTTTAAAATTCAATATCTTGGAAACTAATTAACGTATCGAAATAATTCTTTCACGTGTATTTTTAATTTTTAACAGAGAATACAGAAAGCTAAAAAACAAAATTAGTGAACATTCTTCATTCTCATCTTACAAATAGCTACTATTGATGGGCAAAACTCCTAAAATGAGGAGGGGTTTGCTTTTACTATGGGTTTGCTCTACAATAAGGGTGCAGATGGGTGTACACTGCTGTGGATAATAAAATTGACTGTTTCTTCAACAGATCCAAAGAATGGTCATAAGTGGCGGCAACTTCAAACCAGACACGTTGAAACCCAAAGAAGTTGTGTCTCTTCTTTTAGATGACGAAGAAATTGAACTGAAATGCAAGTATACATTTAGGCGTATTAAATACAGTAGGTTCTTGTTGAGTCTATGTTCAAATTTAAACTATGGTTTTCCTTTGCAGACCGACAAAAGTCAGAAGAAAAGAAAATAATGGAAGAAAGGGAAAGAAAACGAAAATTAGGTATTCTGCCACCGGTAAGTTGTTTTCCTTTTGTTTCAATGATATTGGTAATTTAATTATTGGAACAGGGCCTCTCCAACTGTGCATCTTAAGAAATAGCAAATTCCCAGGGCGTCACGGTAAAAAAGTTTGTTAAGTCCTGCACTAGAACTGATTATAACATTTACATTATCGGCTAAGCAGATCCAAGAATGTAGATTGCATCACTATCTATCCAAAACGTACAAGGGATGTACACCGTGTTCTCTATTGCATGAAAATGGTCTCAGATGTAATTTAGTATATTGGAACGAGCCCTTCTAAAAGCCTTACCGCATATCTGAACATTTTATTTCTGCAGCAGCCAGCCGTGATAGAACCGAAGCGAACGCGGGACTCGGCGTCGGAGCCAGGCAGCCCGCTGCAGGTTGACGACGACGGCGACCAGTTGGTGGTTGACGCGCCGCCGCTGCCCGCAGTGCCGATGAGTGAGTATCGATATAATTTACATCGATATCTAATCGATACATTTATCCATCATGTAGGAGTAATTCCGTCGGGCAGGAGTCAAATCCTCCATTTGCCTCTTGTAAATTATGTTGTGTTCCTGCAGTTGATGATGTTAGGATTCATTAGGACGCCCCTTAGCTTGGTGGACGAGTGATTTCAAACTATGTCTGGCAGTGGATAAAAAAAGCGAGAGATCATGCTTTCCTGGCTGCGGTGATATTATAATGATTAAAAAATGTATCACATTTCGTGATAATTGACTCACGAACTAAAGTACTACTACATTTATGTAGAGTTGATTATTTGAAGCGACAAACTATAGCATCATGGATATGAGTATAAAAGGGTTCCATAATTATACATTCAATAGATGAATGTATCTTTTTTAAAATGTTGTTTGTTTCTTACTAAAGCCTGGTCCGTGAGCACGTAGAATTTTGTCCAATCACCCCAAGCTACCCATCGTTATCGCTCGCGCGTAATTATATTGCTGTCGCGACTGTGCGACTGGCACCCGCAGTGAGTGTGCGAGCGCGACAGCAACATAATTACGCGCGAGCGATAAGGATGCGTAGCTTGGGGTCATTGGACAAAATTCTACGTGTTCACGGACCAGGCTTTACATGTTTTTTGAATGACTTGTAGATCAATTAGGATAGGTTAAATTGTGTTACACTGTCGATAACATTGTTATCTCCTCCCAGCGTACTCCCCGCCAGTACGTTCATCAGCGTGGGGCGTGTCGCGGGCGTCCCGCAGCGCGCGGCGCGGGCGGCCGCGCGGCTCGCGGCACGCGCTCCAACGCCGCCCCGACCCCAAGCCGCAGCCCGCAGACACTGCCATTGCTATCGCAGCTGGTGAGTGAACACCTCGGATATGTCCTTAGGGATTACAGCAGCAGGTAGTCCCAAACTAAGCAACATTTAGGACGTTCTACGCACCGTCTTACAACGTTTTTGGACGTTTGAGAACGGGAGTCACCACCGCCCCGCCGCAGCCTGCACCCGCTGACATCACCATCGCTATCGCCGCTGGTGAGTGACCTTTGCTCCTTTCAAAGCACCATCTAGTACCAAACTAATGGGACCACGACGGATATGAAAATGCGGATATCGGTTTTTTGAGAGAGCTGGTTAGGAAAAGCGTTTAAAGGAACAGACTGGGAGGAGCAGCCGCATTCCGCGCCCGTTAAGATTGCCATTGCTATCGCTGCTGGTAAATGAGCACTTCTCATTTATCCTTATGCCGGCTGTACCCTTATCCAGCGCCGCCCGAATATGTCGCGCGAGAGCCCTATATACGAACACGGGAGCGATAACGAGACATCTCGAGAGGCAGCGAGAGCTCCTCGGCACACTCTCGCATTCGGCTTATCTCGTGGGCTCTCTGCGAGAAAAAAGAAACAGACAGGAGCCTTGCCATCGCAGCTGGTGAGTGACCTTCTCCCAGTATACTCCCCGCCGGTGCGGTCGTCGGCGTGGGGCGTGTCGCGGGCGTCCCGCAGCGCGCGGCGCGGGCGGCCGCGCGGCTCGCGGCACGCGCTCCAACGCCGCCCCGACCCCAAGCCGCAGCCCGCCGACACCGCCATTGCTATTGCAGCTGGTGAGTCAGCACCTTGGATATGTCCTTAAGAATTGCAGTAGCAGCAAGTCCCAAACTAAGCAAAAAAATGTTCTAAAAGAACACTGAGAAGGGACGCCGCCGCAGCCCGCGCCCGCTTCACCGCCTTTGCCATCGCGACTGGTGAGTGAGCACCTCGAATATATCCTTAGGGATTACAGCAGCAGCAGTAGCAGCAGCTAGTCCCAAACTAAGCACTTTTTGTACTATGGGACCACGACGGATATGAAAATATGGAGATAAGTTTTTCTGAGGGAGCTGGGTAAGAAAACCACTGACAGAAGCCGCCGTCACAGCCTGCGCCCGCTGACACCGCCATTGCCATCGCAGCTGGTGAGTGACCTTTGTTCCTTTCGCAACATAAATATCCTTAGGATGGCTGCCAGCAGTAAATGAAATACCACCAGAAGTTTTTTTTGAGTGAGCTGGGTAGGAAGTATCTTAAAGGAACGAACTGAGAAGAGACGCCGCCGCAGCCTGCGCCCGCTGACACTGCCATAGCCATCGCAGCTGGCGAGTGACCTTTGTTCCTTTCGCTACATAAATATCCTTTTGATGGCTGCCAGCAGTAAATGAAGCGCCATCTAGTACCAAAGTAGTAAGTTTTTTTGAGAGAGCTGGGCAGAAAAAGTGTTCCAAAGGAACGAGACTGACAGGAGTCGCCGTCGCATCCCGTGCCCGCTAAGTGCTATTCGTCGTTGAAGTGACAATACCTCCTGTAGAATCCTCCGTGAGCTCTCGCCTAGCCTCCATATGCGAACACGGGAGCGAGAGCGAGTGAGCGATAACGAGACATCCTAAAAGGTAGCGAGAACTCCCCTGGATACTCTCGCACTAGGCCTGTCTCGGGAGCCGTGGGTGAAAAAAAAGAAACAGATAGGAACCTCACCATCGCAGCTGGTGAGTGACCTTCTCCCAGCGTACTCCCCGCCGGTGCGTTCGCCGGCGTGGGGCGTGTCGCGGGCGTCCCGCAGCGCGCGGCGCGGGCGGCCGCGCGGCTCGCGGCACGCGCTCCAACGCCGCCCCGACCCCAAGCCACAGCCCGCAGACACCGCCATTGCTATTGCAGCTGGTGAGTGAACACCTCGGATATGTCCTTAGGGATTACAGCGGCAGAAGATACAGCGCCATCTAGTCCCAAACTAACTAAGCAACATTTGATCCAACGTTTTTGGACATTTGAGAACGGGAGATGCCGCCCCGAACCGCCGCCGCAGCCCGCAGACACTGCCATTGCTATAGCAGCTGGTGAGTGAACACCTCTCATTTGTCCTTAGGGATTATTACAGTAGCTAGTCCCAAACTAATGGGACCACGACAGATATGAGAATACGGAGATCAGATTTTTGAGAAAGCACTCTCAAAAAACCCAGCTGGGTAGGAAAAGCGTTCTAAAAGGAATGAGACTAACAGGAGCCGCCGCCGTATCCCGCGCCCGCTGACACCGCCATTGCCATCGCAGCTGGTGAGTGGTCTTTGCTCCTTTTGCTATATACATATCCCTAGGATGGCAGCCAGCATTATATGAAACACCATCTACATTCTAGTACCAAAGTACTTATTTTTTTTAAGAGTGAGCTGGGTAAGGTAAAGGAATCACGTGGGCATTGTAAACACTAGTCCATCTTATGTAGTCGTAATAGTGCGATGTGTTTTTAATTATATTTTTCATTCACCAGGAGCCGCTCTACTAGAGTCAGACGCGCCCCTAGAGACAATAGAAGCAGGCGGGGCGCCTCGCGGGGAGTTGCGCGGGCGCCGCGGGCCCGGCCGGCCGCGATTACGCGCCTCGGCCCCGCGCGCTGCCCCGCGCCGTCCGCGAAGGCCCCGCGAGCCTCTACTGGTACCACTGGCGCCGCCGCCGTAGACAAAGAAGACTATAGCGTGTCCCACGAAGAGTTGAGCAAGGTTGGCGTTCTCATTATTGTTACAACCGTCTACGATTGAGCCACTAGAGGCACTTTAGCGAGCCACGAAGACTGCTGCAGCTGTCTGACTATATTGAGTTACTAGCAGCAGGCGGGGCGCCTCGCGTCGTCCGCGAAGGCCCCGCGAGCCTCTACTGGTACCACTCGCGCCGCCGCCGTAAACAATGACTAGTGCAGGTTGCACCAACCTGTCTCACTGTTGCAACTGTCTAACTTTCTAGCGAGCCACGAAGACTATGCTGCAAGTTGGTGTTCTCATTGGCAACTGTCTGACCATTGAGTTCCTAGAGTAGGGCGGGGCGTCGCGCGGGGAGTTGCGCCTGTGCGCCTCGGCCCCGCGCGCTGCCCCGCGCCGTCCGCGAAGGCCCCGCGAGCCTCTACTGGTACCACTGGCGCCACCGCCGTAGACAATGAAGACTATAGTGCAGGTTGGTGTTCTCATTTTTGTAACTATTGAGTCACTAGAGGCGCCCCAGCGAGGCACGAAGACTGCTGCAGTTATCACAGTAGTAGGTGTTTGAAGTAAGCCATCTATTGAGTAACTAGAGTTGGGGCTTCGCTCAGAGAGTTGCGCATGCGCCGCCGTCCTAGACTACTCTGCAGATTGGTGTTCTCACTGCTGCAACTGGGTGACGATTGAGTCAATATACTTTGTCCAAAATAGGATGGCAATGGATGGAGATTCAGATTCAACTTATCCCACCGCGTCCATCGTCGATCTAGTCGCTGACAGCTGTGAAACGCATTTTGTAGATATTTTTGAACAACTTCTGGGTCTCATTACTCACTTCCATCCACTATTGACGAATGCAGTCTGAACCCGTTACAACGATAATCCTTTCACCCCTCCCGACATTATATTACTGCAATATGTGCTTTAAGGGAAATGATATTAAAATTATATCTTTTTTCCAGATTCCACGCTGCATCAACGGCAACCCAGGCCTGCGCGTCCTACCTCCCACTAGTGCAATTTGTAATTATTGCAATATTTACAACAGTCATGTACAAAGAAACGCTTTTATTTGTAAAGTATTACACGCGAAGTTTCTGAAACTTTGCCTTATTATTTATGTTGCTCATAAACAAATATAAAAACACTTATTATGTAAGATTTGTTATTTGTTCTACTATTTATTTCATTAAATACTTAAATGAATTATCACTTAAAAAGAACATTGAACAAGATGTGGAATAATAACAATCTGAGTTAAAATGTATAAATATTTTGTAAAAATACAATAACTAAGATTTGTAAATTTGTTGCCATTTTTAATGTATTAAAATATCAGCTAAACCAAGATTTGGCTGTTCTTTTTATTTTTGCTCTTACACACTTGTAGTTGAATCTTTTATCTTTCTAAAGAACAACCCACCTTAATTTTGTTCTAAAATTAATGTCTGTCATTTCTGGTTTAGTTGGTACAATGTAAGTAAATCAAGCATTACTTGCAAAAACATTATACCCAAAAATCTGCTATTTGGATTACCATGAATATGAATAACCATTATGTTCAATGCATTGTTAATTATGCAACATGACGTAAACACTGAAATAAATATTATTATGAGAATTTCTGTGTTTATCTTTCTTGACCTTTATTCAAAGTTAAATGTAGTCCATGCTCATATTTTTCCTCAAAAACTTAATGTTATTAAAATCTTCAACTTATGATATGCACACTGAAAATATAATATTTTGTTAACCGGACTTTTGATTGAAAGCTGTCACGGAAAATAAGTAACATAACTTCGTTAGTGGAATACTCCAAAGGTCAAAAGCTCCAAAAGATACGGCAGATAAAGAAACCTGTGTATGAAGGTTTCAGTTAAACGCTAGCAGATTATAGCTACCGTTAATGGAATGTGGGAATGACAATAGTATTGTTTGGGAAGCGTGCGGGTCACGGCTTAAACGGGTCGGCATATCGGCACAGTGGATGTTGGATACAGTAGGAACAAACCCTATTTTTTCACGAAAAGGGTGTGCCGTATTATGAATGGAACTCAAAACTCGATCCAAATTACAGATTTCATGGGCGATTGGCTGAATTACGTTAGCTAAATAAATAAAAATAATTATGTAGATTATACTCACCCTGAGGTGCTGAGGCCAGGACGAGGGCGGCTTTTTCTTTGTAACTAGATATCACATAAGTAGTAACAAGTAATGAGATTGGGACTCTTCGTACCATCAGGCTTGATAACATGCGATTTTGTGCCCAAATATTTTCAAACAACTTAGTACAAGTATTTCATACAATTTCATTAAAAATAATCCAATGTTTCTTGATCTCAATGTCTCATAATATCACTGGTGAATGTCTCTCATTGTCTTCTTTATGAAAGCTATGTATTCTATATATCTATATAAATAAAAATGAATTGATGTTCGTTAGTCTGATTAAAACTCGAGAACGGCTGGACCGATTGAGCTGATTTTGGTTTTAAAATGTTTGTCGTAGTCCAGGGTAGGTCTAAACGGTGAGCAAATACGCGTGCAATATTGTTTTTCTGTGACAGACAAAATTACGTGGGCGAAGCCGCGGGCGGAAAGCTAGGTAATAAAATACTGTTGGAGCGAACATACTGATCCTACCTCAGTTATGCCAGTATCGACTTGTTAAAAAGTAATTTATTCCCGCTCCTTGACGGCGACCGTTACAACTTAATGTGGCGTTTACGTGTTTCGTAACCTTTGTATGGGAAATTAAATTTGTCCTCGTATTTGAAAATGAGCAAAGCAAAGTGGCCCCATCCGTATCAAATGCACTTATGAATCTTGTACCTTTGGTTCTGCCTTGACACACAATACAAATCTAGGTTGAATAAATATGCGATGATGAGACATAATTTTTTTGGTATATTTTTGGAATTAATTTCTAGGAATTTTATATTTCCTTTTCTCCAAGTGGGCTTTAATAAAGCGCTTTTACACGTCCCAGTACCTATTAGATTAGATAGGTAGGTATCTACTTCAATCCTACCACTGCTTCGGGACAATGGGCCAGTTGCAGTGTTGAGAAGAATCAGCACAATAAACTCGGTTAAGTACCATTGTCAGTCTCATTTTTCAAAAGTTTAAAAGTTTCAGTACTGAAATAGAAATGGGATATAGTTACCTTCTTAGGTAAATTATGTTTCTGTTCAAAAAGATATAATTTTCCTTGACAAGTGATTCAGTAGACATACCAACATTCAATCTACGTTAAAAGCTATTTTTCTCGCCGGGATAACTTCAAGCCTTTCCTACGGGACCCTAACAGCTAGTTATGTGACATGTCAGGAGAAGTCTACCACAAATGAGCCGTCACGGCGGGCCGGGTCGCGCTAAACATTATAATTAGGCACGCTGTCGGTAGCCGCTTTGTTCGTATGATCCGTGTTTGGTGAAATTCTCGTTTTTACTGTAGGTACCTTTGTTTACGAATATGAATTAGTATTTTCTGATACAATTTCGCCTACTAACTTTAGTTAAGCTCGATGGATACCCTGAGGATGTGATTAGTAATAGCTCATAAGCGAGCTAATTGCATTTTTGAATTGGTAGGGTCCGGGCGCTAGACCATTCTGACCACCTGGCCCCAACTGTAAGTTTTATACTAAAGTCATAGATTGCCCAAATGAGTTGGGAGTTTACTGCATTTCCTTTAAAGTAATTTAACTTTTTAGGTTGAAAAATGTTACGATTTAAACAATGAAAAACCCTATGGGAAAGCCATTGCAAAGAACGATGTTTACTTTTTATGCCAGTGAAATGGCTAATAGTAGCGAACGATGATTAGGTACTTTTTATGCCAGATGGCTAACAAACGATCTGTAACGTACTGTACGGGCTTTTTATAGCTTTCAAATTCATTTATTTAACAACTTTGTGCTCCGCATTGCTCGTTGTTGTACTGTAAAAGTACTTGTAATAGCAGTATAAAATCGATAAGCATTGCGCCCACGACTAGGGTGACCACCCGTTCGAATAAATTGGTACTTAAATACTTTATTGTACACCACATAAAACTGACAAAGGTAGATGGGTAGTTCTACTCACGGTGGAATTATTTAGGACCATAAAATGAATCTCCAGTTTTTGTTAGTAATCAGTATAAACAGTGACTAAAGACCGAGAATATACTACAACATATCCAATTTTTAACGGGCCAGACAAAATTATGATAAATATTGATTTTATAGCGGTTTTTCTATTTTCGATGGACAGGGAAGTGATAACATATACAGGATAGTGAAAATTTAACTGAAAGATGCATTTGAGTTTATAGTCTTTATTCTAAAAATAATAAAAAATACTTTTTTGTGCATCATAAAGGTCCACTATCAATTGAACATGGAACTCATTTAGGTTGCTTCTTTTTCCGTCACCCGATCTCTTTGACTTTTCCCTACTATTCGTATCTCCTTCTATTATCTTCCTCTTCTTTTCTCGACGCTTTTCTTCGACTGGAAACAATTCGTTAGTATCTATTTTCGGCATCTCCAGCAATCCATCAGGATCATCAATGTTCATTCAGTCCCAGTACACTCGTAAGGTCAACCAAGTCTGATGAATCAAAATACTGGTGTTGCAGGCATTACTGGTCTCAGTTTCAGATTCAGTTTAAGCGTCATCAACATTTGCTTTCATGGAAGAATATTTTAGGATGCCTATTTGGAAGTGTTCGCACACGTTACAGCAAAAACAGCTAAAAGTTTGTATAGAGTCAAGCAAGTCAAAATGGAGTATCCACTTTCAATGGAGTGTATGCATTTGCCTGCACTTAGTGTATTTGTAAAATGCCTTTATATAGCAGTAAGTTTTGCTGGTTAGTCGATATTAACTTTTCCATTTTCTTCGTAAACCCAGGGAAATGATACACAGGGAAGTGAGATTTTTGATGTATTTTGCCAAAATCATGAATTATATAAACTTCATATCAAATTTAATATTATCAGTCAATGGACGCAAGCGAGTTTGACAATATTGTTTCATAATTGCCCTAAAATAATATAAAATACTGTTATAAATACGTAACAGATGAGTGAGAAGTTGTCTGGCCCAGACACGACAGACGATGATAACAGCGTAGCTGCGTCTAACTGACTGACGATTTGGGCGAAATAAACGTTTCACTAGGCGAACTTAACTGCATACTTAAATACATAAGAACGACAACGTGGCTTACCCTTTGTTTTGTTACAGATTTTAACGTGTTTATAGGTGGCAGGGAAGTGATACTTAATTCGTGTCGCCTTTGTTCAGCAATCAAAAAATTATGTAAATAGGGAATTCAAACATAATCCATATAGGTTAAATGAAAGATACACTAATGGTTACTTTCAATACAATGTTATTTTTGACTAATTATATTTTTATATATTTTTTATTGTGATTTACATCATGAATTCTGGAATGTCACCCCACAGGGAAATGAGAATTTTTCCCATTTGAAGCCATTTTTGTCTGGGATGTTTTTATTAAAACGTGTTGAAATTCAGTGACCAAGTACTATGTGAGTTAAACTTTATTAATACCCTAAAACGAAAACTATTAATTGGTAATTTAAGGAGCTGCAAGATGAGCCCCGTAAAATTCCCTGATTTGTAGAACTACCCAGATACCAAAAATAGTACAATGCCATTTAGGCGGTCTTAACGTTAGGCAGCGATTTCGTTAATCCAGTTACTTTATAGGTACAGGATATTTGTTTGAAATAAAAAGGGAGAATTCCGATATGGATAAATAGGATCTTAAAATAATATTAAACTTAAGTAGGTACATACTCTACATTCTTGTAGTGACTAATGCCCGTTTTCACCATCAATCCATAATTTTTAAGTGACCCCTATGGCTATTGGAACTTAACAGGAATTTCGTTTTCATAGGGGTCACTTAAAAATTAGGGATAGATGGTGAAAACGGGCGTAAGCCTTATAAAAGCTTTGTATGCTTTTATATGGTTACCCTACTCACGGTTGTGGTCGTTCGCACAGAACGTTCGCTTTCTCGTGAGTTGTGAATCACCATGAGAACTGTATCTTTCCACAAAGTTGGACGGACGTGGAACAATTTGCCACTCGGTGTATAAAAGTGCTCAAGTCACAAGCTTTGGCGAGTTTGTCCTCTGTATGGCTGAAGTTCAAAAGACATGGGTTAACTGAAAGACTCAAAAATAGATACCTGCTGCCTACGTACTTTTATAAGTACCAACAAGTTTACTGGAGTGCCCACCTAGGCACCTAGAGCACCCGTCCGAATAGTACGTACACGAAAAGCACCTAGTCTAGACTAGTCCACGAACAGCTCCCAGGTTATTTCGATATCTTTTTTCAGGACTTCTTTCAAAGCACCTGGGTGCTGTTCGTGGACTAGACCAGGCGCTGTTCGTGCAGGTGCTATTCAGTCGGGTGATCTCTAAGATAAGAGGGCTACCACAGTAAATTACAATTCAACGCACCTTTCTTGTACACTACCTATACTTTTTGTTCAAAAGGTTTAATTAAGGTAGCAGGGTGCTTCCACTAAACACTTACTTAGCTGTTGATTTCTAGATGCTCGTGACGAAAAAAATCTATGTGTTATTCT